TTTCCTTAAGGCATCTAGTAATTTGGAATGAATGGCATTAATGTCTTGTTTCAGTCTATCATTTTCAGCATTCAAGAGAACGTGGTGATTTTAGACTTTCTGGAAATCTTGTAATAAAGATTCCAGTGTTATATTGTTTGGTCCAGAATCACTAGAGCTATAGGAGGAGCAGGATGTTACCTCAACATCGTTGTAGTGGTCCTTGGCCATTAAGCATTTGGGAGAGCTGCTTTCATTATTTTCACTTGAGCTGGTGGAAGATTCACTGAGCCACCTGCTACTCTCTGCAGTGAGACAATTGCTGCCATCTTCAGCCACCTGCCAGGATCCCAGGCATAAAAGTGCTTCCTCTGAGCTTTCAGATGAAGAGCTTTCATCACTTGAGCTGCTTTTATCTTCATATTGGGGTTCCTCCTTTTTCTTTTCACTTACAAAGGCTTGTCTCTTGCCTTTGAAGTCCTTCTTGTAACCAGCTTTGTGACCGGTCCCCTGCTGCCCTTGATATTTATGGGCTAAGGGCAGAGGGCATTCATTTTTGTAATGTCCTGGTTGTCTACAGTTGTAGCACAGGACAGTTTCCTCGCTGGTTTGAGGTCTCCCTTGTCTCCTGGGTGGCAGATTGTATGATCTTTTTGGAGCAGTTCCCTCCTTCTTCATGAACCTTTTAAACTTCCTTACAAACATAGCAAACTGCTCGTCAGTAAGAAGGTTGTTGAGGGATTTTTCACTGGATCTTGAGGGGCCAGGCTCAGAGAGCTTGTCAATTGATAAGGTTCTTAGATCTCTGCTATCTCTCATAGCAGTCATCATCGTGTCCCATTTCGAGGGCAATCCTCTCAAGACTTTAAGGGAAATCTCTTTTTGAGGTAGATCTTTCCCTAAGTCTGAGACCTCTGCTGTGATCTTTAAGAACCTGGATTCCATCTCATGGATGGATTCATTCTGCAGCATTTTGAAGTCCTCAAATTTCTTGAGGGCTATGGTCAGTTTGTTGTCCTTTTCTTGTTCATCACCAGCTCCGATCTTTGTGAGCTCATCCCATACTGCTTTTGCAGTTTCACATTTCCTAATTCTAGGAAATATGGACTCATCAACAGATTTAAAGAGAATGTGTTTGGCAATGTTGTCAAGATTATTCCTCTTCCTATCCTCCGATGTCCATTCCAGTTTTGGTTTAGGAATGTATATATCCTCCTGGTCATCAGCTTTGGATGTGCTGACCTTCATTATTCTGATAGGTCCATCAGTAATCACCTCAAGCATTTCATCATGTAAAGCACTGAGATGTGCTTTCATCCTGATTCTCCAATCATCAAATTTGTTTAAGTTGAATAGGAGATTTTTGGCTAGTTGACTGTCCATTGTTTAGAAAGTGTTTGGGAGGGGAAGTGGCTTTGGATCTTTAGTTCAAAATAGTCAACTAATGACTCTAGGAACACTCCGCTCTGATACCACTTGATGGTCCCGGATAGGGTAAACGTCTAGAGGGGGGGTGAATAGACTTTTAAATCTTTTTCAACTTTTAAAAGTTTTCCCTCTGAAAGAGTTAATCTATAAACTTTTGAGAGTTTTATAGATGCACAGCGGAAGTCTTTACCCTTTATGTAATGAGAGTTTAGCCACTTTCTAACTAGGTGAGTATTTGGCTTAGAATGCTAGCAGTTGGCTTAGTAGGTGGCTAAGAGCAGGGAACTGCTGAGGCTACTGCTTAAGAAATGAAGAGTATATGATGAAGGTAAGGATGAGTACGATAAGGCTTTTAGTGAGTATGCTTAGGAGAAAAGAAACTATAGCTTTTTGCTGAAGCAGTGGACTCACCAGTTGGGTGAATGTGAGGGAACTGTTGAGGCACCTGCTTGGGTTAAAAGCTTATTGTGTTAAGCAAACTTCTTGGTGATGTAGTGACAGTCTCGTGATGTTTGAGATGTTTGACACGAAGTAAGTATATATGAGGCACCTGTTGTACTTAGAAAGTGAATTTCAGAGAACTAATAGAGTGATCCTTTCAAGTGATAATGGTGCACGTTAAAGGTGTGAATTTTGTCTCAAAGAGAGTGAGTAATTAAGCAGTAGGATAAGCAGTTGGGTCAATTAAGACAACTGCTTAGGATGCTGCTGGCAAACTACAATCTTTATGTGAGAAGTGTTGGGTGTGTGCTTTGTTGACCGAAATGAAATCAACACACGATATATCCTGGTTCAGATGTGGTGTAATCCTCCTACGTCCGGTCCCACCCTCTTTCAGATGGATTTCACTAAAGTATTAGACCCAATACACTTAGTGTCAATCTAGCCTTTACAACGTTTTTAGGCCTAGATTGAAGGTTTTTCACAATGAGTATAGCACCACTCAAAGTTACTCAGTCCTTAGACTTTTCTCTAATGAACCAAAAAAGTACTCTATCTATCTACTTACACTGTAGGATCCGAACAACTGTTCTGCTAAGTGTTTACAACAATTTGTGATTTGTTACAAGAAAGTTCTAACCTCCAACTAGGAACTAAACTTCTATGGTGTAGCAATGAAGAGCTTGTAAACTGGAAGTTTAGTGAAGCAAGAGTCCAGGCAGAGAGTAAAGTTTAGAATAACACTTTCTCTTTTGCTAGATATCTCGTGAATGCTTGTGAAAGAATTTCTCTTTGGATGCTCAAAGCTTGGTTAGAAACTTTCGTTTCAGCCTATATTTATAGGCTTCTCCTTTGAATTAATCTCATCCGTTGGTTAGGATGAATTAATCTCTGACGTTGAAATACATACAAGGACGAATTGTACGTTCGTCTTCTTGTGCTAGAGTTGATTTCTGGGTGATTTCTTTGTCCTTCATCATTTAGCCGCTGAGACATCTCTTCAGCAACAATTCCACATGAGCTTCTTCAATGCAAGGACCCGAGTACTGTGTTATCATTTAATGCTCGTCAATTATGTCTTCAGTTATGTTCGTTCAATGAATGTAATTTCCGAGCTTGTGTTCTTAATAATGTGACATATAGTTAATTTTTGAGCTCAAATAAGATATACCGGTAGGATCTAAATATCCTATTAAGGTAAAGTAAAATTACCTTATTGCATTTTAATTTTTCCGGTAATATTTAAATTGACTCAAAAATTGTACATTTGTTTTTGTCACATAACTTTCAATACTAATATACGAATAATATTGAGAAACAATGTACACGTGCTACGTATAGTGGCATCATCAAAATCTATCAAAATTGGATACTAACAAATTGCATTCTTATTTATAAATAACGATGTATTAATGTGATATTTTATAATCAGAATAAATATAAGTAATTGCTATTGTGGGATGAGAAATTAGAATTTTACTTTTATCATTATTAGTAATTATTATTATTATTATTATTATTATTATTATTATTATTATTATTATTATTATTATTTAGTGATGCGCAGATGGGACACGATTTTTTGGGTAAGAATATCGCCATATATACTATGAAATAATTACTAATATTTCGTATACATTATGTTGGTAAAAGTATGAGAAAATTGTAATTGCTAGGACTAAAACATAGGTTTCTTCCAAAAATAGAACCTAATGTTTGTTTTTCCCTAAATAGGACTAATCATTCCATTTTTACCTCTAAATTAATTAATTAATTAACCCAATCAATTGCTCCCCCAACTCTCTTGCACAACCAAGGCAACATGTGGACTGCCGGCGGCGGCGCAAAATTTTCCATAATTTTTTTTCTGGTGACAGTCTAGGGGCAATAGTGAAGGCATTTTGGTCCAATCACAAATAAAAAGTCTTATTTAAGGATTTTAATTAATTGGTCCTATTTTGAGAAAAAAACATGTTTTACTCTTATTAAGATAAAAAAGCTCCTAAAAGTAAATACACTACTTTCAAAATGGCTACGTGCTAAGAATGTTAAAATGGCTAAATATAGGCGGTGTTTGGAACTTATTCTGCTTCTGCTTCTTTTTTAAAGCAGACGCAAAATCAGAATCGGTTTTCAAAAGCCGGTCACCTCCAGCTTCTAAAAAACTGATTCTACGAGTAAATTAGAGCACCAGAATCACTTCTGCATTTTCACCCAAACACTCCAACTTCTGCTCCCTGAAGGAGCAGAAACAGTTTTAAGAATCAGATCCAAACACTCTCATACTATGTAGTAACAAACAGCTACTAATTGGATGGTCATTGATTTGGTAAGAATTATTAAAAGTTAATGAAGAGAATTTCTAGACATGCATGTACCATATTGATAAGATCACCTTTCATTATAGGGAGTACCATATTTAAAAATCATATGTGCACTTGTCCTTTTATATGACAATTCTACATTAATTGTCAATTGTGACCCAAATTTGGACGAGATTTTTCCCTCCAATCGCTGCCCCAACACTGTTACTTAATATAATATAAAGATTGCTTATATTCTTATTTTATTCAAATTAGATCACAAAATTTTAAACCAAATCAGATCAGAAAAATTCAAATCAGATCATAATGATTCAAATCAAATCAGACCAGATCAGAAACATTCAGATCAGATTAGAAACAGTCAGATCAGATCAAAAAAGTTCAAAAATGATTAGTGACTAAACTCAGATGATTAGTTATTAACTGATTCAAGGAGTCACAATTCACAATTGGAAGGTATGTTCCTGAATATTATTATTAATATTTAATAATAATATTATTGTTGTTGTTGTTATTTTTATTATTATTATATAAAGTAATTATAATTATAAGTATAATTACAATTATTATTATAGAAATAAATATTATAATTACATTACAATTATAATTATAGAAATAATTATAATTAAAAATATAATATCAATTATAACTATAACTATAATTAGTATAATAGGTATAATTAATATAATTTTAGTTTTAATTATAATTATGACTATAATTATAATTAAAAAATTATAATTATGATCTTAATTATAATTATATTTAAATTATATTTATAATTATAATTATAATTATAGAAATATTCAAATTAGATTAGATCAGATCAGAACTTAAAAGATTCATATCAAAAACGTTCGGATCAGGTGAAGAAAACAGCTTCTAGTTCATCTAAAACATGGAAAATACATTGATAGAAAAGCAAGGCAAGTGGCTACTTTGTATGCTTAAAAAAGAATAACTACAAATATGAAATGAAAATGAAATTGCAGTGAACAGACAATCATCCTTTTCTTTGTGCACCTTTCCCTTTCCTCCTCATCCAGCTCAGTTAGCAGATCCAGTAATCTTCTTAATTCTCGCCAGGAATGTAGAAATCAAACTTGACATCAATGGAACCAGAATTTTCTCCAGTATCTTTGTACTCAATACTAGTGATGGTTCCAGTTGGATCCTCCACTTGGTATTCTGACCGCACGCGCCGAACCGGCACTGTGATTGAATAGATAGTCCCCAGGTCAGGGTCTGTAGAGACGCTCAGCTGAACATTATCCTGAGATTCTATCTCCACAAAATCAGAGAGAACACTCACAATGTTGCTCACTATCTTCTGCTTGGCCTCATCGCTCACAGCACACCGATCAGAGAAGAGAATCATCTTCAACCGTTGCTTGGCGATATTTGCATTGGAATCCTTTCTTGATGGTGGTGGTGGAAACATTACCTTCCAAGCCAAGCTAATGCGCTCTAGAAAGCCCATGTTGGTAATATTAAGAAGGAAGTTGTCAAACTCTTGGCTCAAGGAATTTGAGGATTGCTTGGAATCCCCAAGAATCCCAAGTGTTCTTATGGAGCAACATTGCGTGTTATGACCAGCAGGTGGGGCTTGTATCCCTCTAAGCATGAGCTCAGAGGTACTAAAACCACCTTTAAAGAACACACCAAAGCGTACCTGTGTACAGGAATGAAATATTTGTTACATGAGAAGGGTCAAAGTAGTACTGAAGTACTAGAAATATGAGGACAAAGAAGAAACAAGTTAAATAGAGTGTAGTACTACTGAACACCTGACATTGATTTTAAAAATATTTCTAAATACATACCCTTGAAACACAGGCTTTATACAAGCATTTGTCCCAAAATTGTCCCACTTTGACCGGGCAAGGAATTTAAGACAGCTAAAGCAGAGGGATTAAGATTTATTTAGAAGAGATAGAACTAATGTGAAACACATATTGCTTTCCACCTTTCCTGAAAAAAAATGAACAATAACCTTGGGACTGATTAGGAATGCAAAGAGTTCTAAATCTAGTCTTTTGTGGTTCCCCCAAAAATATGGTATGACATGTCACATGTGTGCGGACGTTGTCTTAGCTAACCTACATCATAGCATTCTAGTTGATTAACATGTTTTGGGAAGTAACTACTTGCCTAGAGCACCTGAGATGCTGAATGTAGTTACTTGACGGACTTGTAAAGTTAATCAATTGGAATTAGTATGACTTTAACCTTATTCCAATGAAGAAGATATGACTTATGCCTAGTATAAATGAACTAAATTATAAACCTTTGAGGGCACATGAGCTGATGCCTTGACATTCGTGTACTATGCAGTTGAAGGTTAATAGAAGTCCATAAATTCCTTCATAGTGACTTTCACTTTGTGAAAAACTATGCAAGTCTTATCATTCCTGTTATCCTGTTTTTTACCAAGGTTTCTCGTTAACCAAGTATACCCATTTTCCTGGTCACCATCACGATAAGTATACGATACTTCTATTAGGTATTGATTGTACATTTGTACCTCTATGATAAATGTGGTGCCCAACAACCAGTTTGCAGATCAGCACCTATGATAACTGATATTATCGTGTTAGCCCGGGACACAAGACCTGAGACTCACTGTTTCTAGTTTAATAAATTTTGGATATAGATGATAGGTGGGCTCTGATTAGCTACTGATGCACTATTAATTATATCCATTTACATTTCATGCAAGTTTTAATGTTCTCTTATTACTATTGGCACACGCTTTTGTATTAATAACTGAACTTTTTCAAAACTTTGTAGAAGAGTTACGCGTAGAAAAATTAGCTAAATCACACATTTCAAATGGATAAAAATTAAGGATATCATGAATAATCATCCAATAGGTCTAAACCTACTTATAATGTACGAGTAACAACTTGTTTCTTGCGAATTTCCGTTTCCCCTAAATAATCAATATAGTGAAATACGTATGACCATGGCTAAAGCCGAATAAAAATCAGCAAATTGATAAAAAAAACATCTAACAAATTTCATATGGATACAAATTAAGGATATCATGAATAATCATCAAATAGTCCTACATACTTATAATATAACAACTTATTTCTCGCGAATTCCCACTTCCCCTAAATAATCAATATAGTGGATACGTATAACCCCGGCTAACGATGAATATAAATCAGCACATTGAAAAAAAACATCTCATTATCCATGATTTCTAAGAGATTGAGTGAACACTCGGAAAAACCTTGGAAGGGGAAGTGGGATGCTTTGAGCTCCGAAGACAGTTATTCGGGTGCGGGCCGAAAGCAGCCGAAACCCGGAAATCCCCGGAAACGGCCATATTTTAAGTTCAAAATCCCCTTATTCGAGCTTTGGGAAGAATTACTGAATCGTTTCGGAAAGACAACAAAGTTGAGGTTGAGGTTGAGTGCGTAGTAGGGCAGGTGAAAACAAACTGGGACCTGTGCAACAGAAATGAGTTGATAAAGCAACAGAAATGAGTTGTACACACTTCGTACACTCGTCTTTTTCACGCATACAGAGTTGTTTGTGAACGAAAATGTACATCAAAATGTGTACATCAAATATTTTTCCAAAAGTATATGTAGTACTACGTATAAAATAGGAAGATAAATTATTTGTCGGCTTATCCTTTTAATTGTTTTCTAATACTTAAAAGCATTACATGTGATATAAAAAGTTCTCTCAATTAATTATTTGTCGGCTTATCCTATACCTAAATGCTTTACGTATGAGAGAGAGAAAAAAAAATCCGCTCAAACTTTAGTTGGTTTATCTTATCTTATGTTCTGTTATACTTAAAGGTACTCCGTGAGAGAGAAATTTCCTCTGCTCAATTGTTAGTCGATTTATTTTATTATACCTAAAAGCACTACGTATGAGAAATATATTCTCCCACTCAATTGTTAGCGAGCTTATCTTATCTTCTTCTTATACCTAAAAGCACTACATATGAGAGAGAAAATTATCTCGCTCCATTGATAGTCGTCATATGGACTAATCTTCTCTCCTTCATATGTTGAAAGTTGGGTGCATGTGTTGCTTATAAGGAGTATAGGGCATTTATCTAAAATCAGGATTGGGCACACAACTTAGAACTAATATTATCAAGACTCAGATAATGCATAGAAAACTAATATCAGAGAGGTTTTTTACTCCAAGACTCAATTTTACAATATGAGACGACTTTAGGTCCATGTATATTTTGAGCGTAGACAACTTACATTAAACGATACTTATTTATGATCAATGATAAGGGTCGTTCGGGACAATTATTGGAAAAGGTTGGCTTCATTCTAATACATGTTGGCTCGGTTTTGCACATGGACGTATGCATGGCAGTGCCGAGAGTAACAAATGCATCTGGTTTTGAAGTTTGTGAGTAAAATGTTTTCTGTCGACTGAAATTTGCCGGTCTGGTCTGGTGTGGTCTGTTTAAGTCTGGTCTGGTCTGGGCAGAAAACAGTCCAAAAGAAAACATCCTAAGACAGATAACCAACCAAGTAAGTGTTGAATATAGTAATTTCCTTTAATGTTGTATAAAAATAAGTTTATAGTCCTTTTTAGTTTCTTTTGAAAGTTTTGTGGACATACATCACCTGTTTTATCGCATGGTAGTCTATATTTAACTTCAAACATTGTTGTTGGGTTAATAGGCCCAACTGTGGTTCGACCCACTACTCCTTAGCACATAAACCATCAAGGCTCAATCCGGGCACGATCCATCAAGATGTCCATCAGACGATCGGGGAATCCATCAAGACGATCGTCCTCAGTGGCCTTGGTCCAACAAGGACCAGATGACATTCCGGGGGTTTTGGCCAGGCAACTTGCATAAGCCGTACGGAGCACGATCCTTGCGTATACCAGAACTCAAGGTCTAAGATAAGGGGACGCTCGTCCAATGCCCTTGGCGGGAAACCAAGATATTGACGGGAAGCGCATTTAATGCAGTAGATTGTGTGGTTGGTAAGCTAGCCACCCACAATCTTTTACATCATGGAAGAATATCACTGGGCCACCCATCACTATTTCAACAAAGCAGTCAAGATAAGGGCCATTGAGGTCGAAGACCTAGTGTTGAGGAAGCGAGAAAAAAGCAAACCGCTCGAAGGTGACAAGATGGCCAAAAATTGGGAAGCTTCGTACAGAGTGTGGAGAAAATTCTCACACGCGACGTTCACCCTGTAGACCAAAGAGGGATGTAGAGCGGGCGTATGGAACGTTGAACACCTAAAGAAAATTTACCAATGACAGCTCTGGGTGGATTCCGCCTGGAAAAAAATGGGGGGCAGACATAACTCCCGAAACTTGGAGGCTCCGGATCTGGTCGTCGACCGTGGACGAGGAGTGGTTCAGCCCAAGAACGAATCACCAAGTGCTCGATGCAGTTCGGCCAGCTGGGACAAGCTGAGGACTTGCTGACTAGGTCGTTGGACGAATACGTGGGGGCTCCAGATCCGGTTCGACCGTGGATGAGGAGTGGTCCTGTCCAAGAACGAATCACCAAGTGCCCGATGCAGTTCGGCCCGTTAGGCTGAGCTGAGGACTTGCTGACTAGGTCATTGGAAAAATACGTGGCGGCTCCGGATCCAGTTGTCGACCGTGGACGAGGAGTGGTCCAGTTCAAGAACGAATCACCAAGTGCCTGATGCAGTTCGGCCCGTTGGGCCGAGCTGAGGACTTGCTGATTAGGTCGTTGGACGCATAAACGAAGAAATGACTAACATAAGATTGGAAGGAAAAGAATGATCTTTATTTTCAGCTCTATCGCCCGGGAAAATACAACAAACAATAAGTCAAATACAATCACAAGAGGAGGAAAAGTACATTAGGTCTGGTCGTCGCCCGGAATGGCATCCTTTGAGACAACATCGTGTTTCTCCATGATGAGCTTCAGAGCTCCTTCATGGGCCTCGATGAAGAACGAATCAAACCCGACAGCCTCGAGAGTGAATGGAGCCGCGAAATGACGCTCGAAGACCAGGAGATTTTCCCGGACAAGGCAGACCATGCCTTTGGCAAAAGTATCATCAGCCAAATCTTCGAGGAACCGCTGGCCTGCACGAGAACCCTTGAGTAACTCGATGTCGGCCAGGTAGGGCTCCTTTCTTTGCTCCAGATGTTCCCCAACGAACCGGGGCAAGAACTTCCTAGCAACAACCTGCAACACAACCCATAAAGCATTAGACTTGTGGAACTCAACCGATCTCCCCCTCTTAATCGCAGAAACGTCGACCTCGTAGGCGAGGGCCGCCCCATCGACCCCAACCCAACGAACTACCACCACGACACTCTTAATGGCGGCCAGTTGGGCACGGAGCATCCACAACTCTCCGTCCTGATTCTTGAGCTTCCCTTTCAGGGAAGCATTCTCCTGGGCAAATTTGTCTGCACCGTCCGCCTTCTCCTGAAGGCGGGTAACACGGTCTCAGACGCTTTTCATCAGGCCATTTGTCTCGGCTCTCAGTTTGGCCATGGACCGACCATTCATAGCCCCCCAAGCCTTATTAAAGTAAATAGCAGCCTTGTCCAACTCACTAAGTCCGCACTCGAGCAGATCCTATGGCCCCTCATAGGCGGCGAAGTCGGAAGGCACCTTTAGGTCGAGAGAACACCAAATGGATGAAGCTGTTTGCCCTAACAACATCTTCAATTCAGTGCGAGGCCCAAGCCCGGAGAACTCGATGAGCCCAGTAGTGAGAGCAGTATTGACCTCTGGGGTTGTGGGAGGACGAGAGTCGTTGCGATTTGAAGGAATGGACGCCTCGTCATCACACGCATCTACTAAGACCACGACTCTCGAAGCACTGTCATCACATGGCCTCTTGTCCGGACGCTCAGACTGAATTTTGCGCCCGGGATCAGGTCACCAAGAGACCAGACTCGACGGTCGTTTTTCCCTTCTGGTTGTCTTGACGACCGAGGATCGTAGGGATATTGTGTGTACAACTCATGGCAGGAGGGCTAGTATAAACACCTGCAATGGGGAAAACACAATTAGAATCATGAAATACACAAGGTTCAAAACCCCGAGCTGCGAATGGGCATACCTATCATGGCTTTAACCATGAGGGAGGATACCACGAGCATGCGAAGGTTTTGGGTACCAAGGGATGCGATACGTGCGGCGCATTCTAATTTCTCGTCACCCAAAGTTGGAGGATCAAATTTTTAAGGTTAGGGATTCCACCGATCAGAGAAAGGCATCGGGGAACCCACTTCAACAAAGAAGAATTTCCTTTCCCACCCTTCCAGAGTGGAACTATTGTTGGTGAAAAGCACTTGCCAAGGACGAGCGGTTAGACCTAGATAGCCCATGCAATCAAACGGGGAAACGCGGAAAAAAAATGGAGGAACAAGTCCATCGTGGGGATGACCTCTACGCTGTGACAACGGATTATGAAACCAGCAACGATCATGTACGTCGCTGGTACGAGCTGCGCAGGGGCTATCCAGAGTGTCCGAAAGAACTCGATATGAAAAGGATGAAGAGGAAACTCCAAACCGGCTAGCACTGAGTCCAAATGGACGATGACATGACAGGGTAGGTGATGCATCGAGTGACGAATGAGCCGAGCGTCCTAAACACGAGGAGGGGGCAGAAACTAACTAATCATATTGATGTCACAAGGAAATAGGCATTGGTGCTGACGCCGAATGCATTCAAAATGAAAGGAGTAGCGAGGGGGTCTGTTGGGCATGCCTCGCTCGTAGAACTATAGGTCATCCCCAGAGAAGCATCCATCATCCGTCTGATCATCAGGACGGGCAGAGGTGGAGGTCGAGCTACTTCGGGTACTACAGGTGAGTTCCATGGTCTCGGGTTTGGAAGAATAAGAGGGTCGCGGGTTACCAGACATAGTAAAGGAAACAGAACGGGGGGGGGGAGCCGAGCTCGAAACTTACTAAGGATGGATAAAGCATAAAGAGAGAAAGAAAATTTATAGAGTAACAACAGGGGTTGCGAATTATGGTTGATTCCCCGGAACTAAGGTACTTATAAGCAACACCGCTTGGGCCACCCAACCAAAAAGGGACACGTGGCAGATCGTGATGGGTGGTCCCCGCGGTTGACTGCGTCATTTCGATTCCTGTGTAAGGAAGGGGCCACAACGGTGGGGTGCTTTCCTTAACAAGGGATAATGACGAACGTCCTCATGGACTTGAGCCAGGATGGAATCCACATCAAGGACGACGAGACGTGCAGGTTTAAGACCTGGCGCACACGATAAGCCGAACTCGCTAACAACTATCCCATAGGGAGATGTATGGCTTACGGGATAGTACTCCACTGAATCACGCCGAACACCAAAGACGGTGGACAGAAGGATTCACAGGATTTGGGGAACGATCCCTAATGAGGGGGGTGATCGTCCAAAGGAACCTTGCCAATAAAATCGAATTAAGAGCAAAACCAAGATGCACGTTCTTTGTTACTCAGTAAACAATATGGAGAAATAGGGTAGGAGCCGGTCAGGGGAGGGGGGAGTCTGCACCGTGTCCTCCTACCCGATTTCTTCCTCATCCGATTCGACAATTGGGGGACAGAGGTTTGGGTTCCTTGCCCATCTCCCTGTCTCGGGCCCTGGCCTGGTTCTAGGCTAGCTTGACGGCAGCTTGGATCAACTCGTCGTCCGCAGTATGCTCGGCCATGCAGAACTGCTCCCCAAAGCCCTTCTTGAGGACCGGCATCACGGCCTCCATGGCGTCGTAATACCCTTTGGCCAAGCTGTTTCCAACTAGATCAAGCAAGAACCGGTGACCGAGCGGAGTTCGAGTCAGAAGCCTAACCCCATGGCCCAACCGCTCCTTCTTGGTCTGTTGGTGAAGCTCTTCCTCAAAGACGTCCCCAACGGACATAGCGCTGAGCGGAGAGCTCGAACCTCGCCGTCTTCTCATACCCGGAGGTGTCTAACTGCTAGACGGGGGGAGCAACGTCAGTCTTGACGGGAAGAACGATGCTTGTACCAACCCCTGCTTCAGAAGTTGAGGGGAGAGCAGGGGTGAATGAGATGCCTTGCTTCTCAGTCATGGCGAAATTGCAAAGGGCCACCTCCAGCGCGGCTTGGAGCTCCCTCTTCTCCTTGGCAGCTGCCCCCTTCTGCAGCCGAGCGGCCTCTTGCGCCGCCTTTAGAGCCTCTTCGGCTGCCTGCTTGGCCAGGAGGGCGTCCTGGTCCCTTGCATTTTCGGACAGTAAGATGTACAGACCGGTCTGCAACAACAAGTAAGGGTAGAATAGGAAGATAGAGTATACTTTAGTCCTATTCGATTTTTTAATTTCTATGATTTTCTTATTTTTAAAAAATAATTTAGAAATTTTTTATATTTTTAATGATTTTTTGTATAAGTTACATTATTTTTATTATTTTTTTTGTATTTATTACAAATTGAAATATGATTATCCTATTAAGTCGTGGTAAGGGCAGAATAGGAAGATAGAGTATACTTTAGTCTTATTTGGGGAAGACATATAACATAGTCCTATTTGTGCATTTAGAGATTAATTTAGTCCTATTTAAGGCTATTATCTCTTTTTTAAATGGGGTATATTTTTTGTTTTAAAAACTACTCCGTAATAAAATAGTCATTTTTAAAATATTAATACAAAAAATATATGAATTTATACGTGTGTGCTCGCGTTAATGTACATATGTTAAAAATGATAGTGGCAGTAGTTATTAAAAATAAACGTAAATATAATTCTTAAATTTTTTCCCAAAACTTATTAAAAAGAAAAGAAATAAATTAAGTTAAATACTCCCTCCGTTCCCAAAAATACTTCCCACTTTCTTTTTTGGGTTGTTCCCAAAAATACTTCCCACTTTCCCATTTTGGACAATTTGTGTGGAGTATATAAACTTTTAAATTCATATCCTTAATGGTCATATTATGCTTCAACAGTTAAGTTACTAATATTTTATTTCAACCCGATAATAGAATGTGTTAGTATTAATTTGCTCTTTCAACCAGCTATTAGCTAGCAGACAACTATTATAATAAAAAACAATTGTTGTCATTTTTTAGTCGTGCGTATTTCATGGCAAAATCAAAGTTGAAGGACTAAAAATGTCAATTTTACAATACTTTATGAAATTTCGCAATACTTTAAATATGAAATGTCGAGAATAATAAAATCTAATACAAAAAATGTTCACTCTAAAACATTAATCAATTTGTCACTTGATTTTTTACCAATATGACTCGAGAGGTTTTTTTTTTTACCAATTTGGCAAAACGTCTTGTTCTTTTTTTCCAATTTAGTAATTAGGCCGGAATATTTTTTTCACTGGTTCAGACCGTTCACTCATACTCCCCAAGATTTTGAATTGTGCAAGTGATTTATAATTTTCCCGCCCCAAATTTAGGGCTCATACTCATTCCACTAGGATTGCTTGAAAGCCATCTACAGCCATGGACGCGATTCCTTTAAGCTTTAGAACCCCAATACGAGACGCCATTTCCAGGATCCGATTCTCCCCGCATTCCAACAATCTCCTCATTTCTTCCTGGGACTGCGTAAGTAATAATCATCATTTTAAAGAATATCTGTGTGCACTCGTGAATGCTGCAACTCATATGCGTTTACATTTTTATGGTTCTAATGCCTGCAGAAACTCCGTTTGTACGATATTCAACGCTCTGAGCTAATACTAGAATCGCCAGGGGAGGCTGCACTTCTGGATTGTTGTTTTCAAAGTGATTCTGTGGCTTTCAGTGCAGCTTCTGATGGTTCTGTGCACAGGTTTCCACTCAAGTTATTCTAAATTATCTATGCCCTCAAAAAGTTCTGAATTTGTTGAACTCGGCTATTACAAGTATATTGTGGTCCAAATTAGCCTCGGATAAGTGAACACTTGTGTTTTAAAAAAAACAATATATCTTGCAATCGATGATTTTGTTGAACTATGGAAATGATATAGTTGATGCCTTGTTTGTAATGGAAAATTGATAGGTATGATATGCATTCAGGACATAAATCTGCAATAGGGAATCATGACCATATGGCAACTTTTGTTGAGTTTTCTCCTGAAACATGTAAGCCTTCACCACATATGAGCTTGCGTGTACATGGTACTGCTATATTACAGTTCTAATAGAACTTACATTTACACTATTTTGGCATGTTTGCTCGTTGCTTCATGTAGGTCAATTAATTACTGCTGGTTGGGATAGGAACATACTCTTCTGGGATGCACGGTCGGCGAAATCTGTTGGATGCTTGAACAATCTAACATCAGAGGCAGAGTCTATGACACTCTCTGACTCCAGTTTGATGGTTGCTATTGATTCATCTGTAATCATTTATGATCTTCGCACCCTTAGGAAACTGGTTCACCGAAAAGATGTCCAAATTAAATGCGTCCGCTCTATTCTTAGTTCTGAAGGTATTGTGGCACTAATCTGGTACCATCTAGACAAGTAAGACTTTATAAATGTTGACATACTATTAAGACTCGTGGTTCCATCCTAAAAGGTCAACCTGATAGGAGGAGTAGTTCAAAGCCTTATATAGTGTTTTACTACATATTATTTATAGCTTTCCGGTGTGGGACAAATACTTCAACACATACAAAGTAGTGCGTATCATACTTCAACACATACAAAGTAGTGCGTATCTACGTGAGTGACTGGTCATTGAGGTAGTTAGTTTGGTAGTCTTAGATAGTCAGGCTAATCATGTATTGTACGTTAGTTTGGCTATCAAAAGTATGTCATGTACATATTGTTCTATAGCAGGACAGATAAAGTTCGAACATCAAGTTGACTTAAGAATTTCTGATCACTATATGGCTTTTTTCATCTGACTAACGTGTATTGGAAAATTGAAGTATATGACACTTTGGTATTTCTGAAAATGACCCTCTTCTATGCACGCTTTTCAAAATAGCCCTAGCTTTGCAAAAGTACCCTTTAAAGCATCTTGTGGTTGCCCTGTGAAATATCCCGAGGTAACCCCTTTCGTCATTTTGAGAAATATTAAAAACCTAAGGGCTACTGCAGGAAATTTCCCCAAAAGTAGTTGATTTTGTCAGGTATTAAGTGCAGTATTCTATGATGCAGGGTTTGTGGTTGGCTCAGTGGATGGACGTGTTGCTTTGGAGTATATCTGTGAATCAGATATGGATAAGGGGTTAGTATAGGGTCTCTGTACAAACCATTTTACTTTGTGCAACTCTTTTATTGGAGGTGTGGTGGTGTTTTAAAAATGGATCCAGGTTATCCTAAAGTTAAATGGATCTCTAAGAAATTGTTTCTTCCACTTTTTTTTGTTCTGCAGATATGCATTTCGATGCTATCCAAAGAGTACAGATGGTAGACGTTATGCCGTGGCAGTAAATGACATTGCATTTAGTCCATTGTAGGTACTTATCCACTTATTATTGCAGAATAAAGGAAAATAAAGTGATTATATTCCGTTTTCATTCTTTCAGAAGCAGTGGTTCATTTGTAACTGGTGATAATGAGGGCTATGTAATAATATGGGATGCTTGGCACAAGAAGCGACTGTTTGAGGTACCCTCTTTGATTACATGAGTTTGGATCTACTTACACCAAAGTGGAAGTGGTTAAGTACTACTGATAAATTGTAGTAGTATTTGCCATCTTCAAAAAGGTATTCCAGAGTTATTTTCGAGATATAAATTATGGAAATGTTGAATTGTTAGTAATACTATTTCCCTCATATTTTTCGTACAACAACAGCTGCACTTTTAAAATTGTTATGCAGCTTTTCTAAACCTAAAAAAGCAGAAGAGTTGCTACTTAGCGTTTCAAAGCTAAGTAACCCAATGTTACATCTGCATTAAAAAATAATGTGCTTCTATTTCTATTTGTGGTTGGAACACCATTCAACATAAGTGTCTCTCTGGCTATGTCAACTCTTTGGATTCTCTTTCCAATAAGATTTTGTATATCTATCATTGGTATATATCCTTACACATATTTGCATTACCTTGATGTGTGTTTTCAGCTTCCAAGACACCCAAACAGCATTGCTTCTTTGGCATACAACCATGATGGTTTGCTTTTAGCAGTTGCATCCAGTTACACTTACCAAGAAGCTAAGGAAAGGTCGGGCACCTTATCCTGTAACATCTTATCATGCTGCTTTCATTGTTGTCCTCTTCTGCCAAACCCTTATCTCAACTTAGTTGGGATTGACCATCTGGGGGTGGCAAATGTTAGTGATCACTTGGCCTAGTATAACTGAATCTAAAGATTTTAATATAAAAAGTAATCTAATGTTGAACCACACTCAAACTGTGTACATAGGTATCTATATTTTCCTTGTAGGCAATAAATAATTATTTAATTAACAAAACACCTGCCATTTTGCTTTTGACAGTGAAGAGCCTCCACAGATATATATTCACAAAGTTAAAAACTCCGAGTCACCTTCCATTTGAACGTCATATATGGAATGACTCTGAAGTAGGTGCCTATATTTCCTACTTGAATATCATTTATTACCTTTGAGGAATCAATCCATTACTATTACAGTATAGGGTTGTTCACTGAGCAACTTTTTACAAATTCCTCACTATCTTGAGAACTTGTTTTTAGGATCAATTTCAGGAATCTATTGAGTAAGATCCCCTATAGATTCCCAAATCATTCAAATTACTATGTTGCCCTGCATTCCATTATGGCAGTTTGCATTCATTCCAGGTATCAATTTAATCTTATTCGGCTGCATATTTTCTTCATTATTCAACAGTGCACCTGATCCCAAGATGAAGTGGGAATTGGTCACTATGATAAACTGGCAGGGTGTGATTGCCTGTTATCGAAATCCACTTGTCCTTAGAGGAGCGCGCTATCTGGAAAATATTCTGTCTCTTAGAATAGTATTTATCAAATGTATTAACCTTGCAGGAGTTGTAGCTTCTTAGTTCGCTAATTTAATTGCTGAACATTTTAATGCCTAGACATGTGGTGAAGCTCTTCTATCAACTTCGATAGTTTGATACTCTGTATTATTCAACTTCATTTTTTGAAATGTAAATGTTGTGATAGTGTGATACTTGAGTAAAACTTTAAAGAGCCAATGCAGTGTAATCGGTATTTTAATAAAAGATAGGCCCATTTTTTTTTAAAAAAACCAGGGGTTCATGTTGACAAAGACCTTGCCCTCAGTCCTCAGAAAGCAAGAACATAACAAATTCAGTGTTTGTTCGATCCTCTTGCCAGATGAAGTCCCGAAAACATTTCATAGTCAAGGCGTGAATTGTACCTCCAGGCTCCAACAGACATTTACGCTAACTCAAGAAAAAGAAAAAAGTAGCAACACATTCTGACCATTGCAGTTCTTGTTTTTAATATCTAACTACGCTATATTTACCTTACTTTTTGCAAGAAAAAGTGTTGCATAACCTTCGGGAGATGGGAAGTTTTTGGCAGGGTGTGCCTTGTGCATTTTGTAAATTTGTGTATATGCATGAACCGATGAACGGCATGCTGCACAGCCTACCTGGAGCTCTTTCGGTAAAAGATCTTAGTGTGATCACCCAGTACTTGTGGTTGATATATCAGCATTTTTTAGTGTTTCAGCATTTTGTTATGTCTTTGAGTCGCATGCTTATTTCACACATCTAATTAGTTTTAGCTTCCCGTTTAAAATAAAATTTCCTCAGGGGTTATATACTATCAACGCCTTGGTGTTGCACAGGCCCCACATTATGTAGATGGGTTGCTTACTACTTGCTTATAAGTAGGTATTTCTCAATTTACTTTGGTATTATGTTTTGTTCCTCAATCAAGATCTTTCAAAATGGATTGGTAGTTTTATTAAAAATTTAGACTTATTCTTTGAGTAGTTGTTGATGCATTATTGTCTTTAGATACATAGCGTTGAAGTTTGAATAAAAGAATTGCTACAGCCAAAGCTGAGGCATTTGCACATTCTTTTATTTTACCGGAGTGGTGTTAGGGTAACTTAGTGATGAAGCCTGGGACCGGCCCAGCCGGGCTTGGGAGTTTGGGAATGAAGCCTGGGACCGGCCCGGGTGTTCGGCGGTCACGGTTCGGGCCGGGCTACCTGCCCAGGTAGCGAGTCGGTCGGGTCGAGTGCCCTTGATTTATTTATTTTTTTAATATTGGGATTAAGAAATTAAATCAAGAAGTGCTACATAAAAAAAACTGAATGTATATTTATTTGATATGAACTACAAGTCTACAATCGAGAATTAGGTAAAAAATTAAAACATGAAATACATTTACTAATAAAGTGATAAAGAATAATCAATCGGAATCTCCGCCACCGTCGGTTGTTGTTTTCTTCATAAAGTGTTGGGTGGCCAGGTGGGGGTGATGCTAAGTGTTGTTGCCTTTGCTTATTTTCGCATACTCCATGGGGTGATGGGCCTTTAGATGCCTTGTGGCGTTATCCTATTCTTGTTAAATTCTCAAACCAAAATCTTTCTTGCAATGGTTACAAGTTGCATACCATTTCTTGGTTTGTGGGTCTTTCCACTTTACAAAATTCTCCATAACTACTATAAGTAAATAACAACTATATAATAAGTAGATATTAAGTTTATAATATATGTATTTATAACTTATAAGTAGATAATAACTATATTAGTAGATATAATAATTGTATAACTAATATATAATATAGTGTTTATAGTATATACTATATAAGTATATTAATAGGAAACTAATATAAATAACTAAGTAGTAGATGAAGATGATGAAATTGATGAATATAGTAGTTGATAGAGGATAAGAGAGTAGAGAATGAATTGTGTAAAAAAATGAAATAAATAGTTATTTATAGAAAATCCCCACCCCCGGGACACCCACCCTTTGCTCCCAATGGCTATAGAGCTGTTTGGGAGCTCCCCAACGGCTATATGCCTGGTTAATTTAAAAAAAAAATCTAGCTGCTAGGTCTGGGCCCGACCCGGCCGGGCTGTATCACCAAAATCAAGTCCCGGAACTGCCCCGCTTTCATTCCCGGTCCGGTACCCGACGCCCGAGCCTTGCCGGGCCTGCTCAGTGGCGGTCTGGGCTAGTTCACGGGCCGGTCGGCCCGGTCCCGGTCCAATGGTAGGGTAACTGCTACAATGTGATATGAAGAGTTTTATAAGTACTCTCTTTGGTGATATGAGGAGTTTTATACTTGATTATTGTACTTTATCTTACTTTTAATGTGATTTTGAATGAAAAGATATTTTTCTAAATCATCCTGGGAAAAGTAAACTAGTTTTATCATGCTTGAAATTGAGCTCGATTTGGGGCTGGCATGTTCCTGGGCTCTATCTGCACAAGTGTACAAAGATAAGCCTACTTAAATATTAAGATTTGAATTGTTTATTGTCATTTTAAAAAGTATAGAATCCCAGATATGATATGCACCGTGCAACTATTGTGATCCATGAACATGGTAGCACAAAGGAGATATGGTATGATGCACAGACATTCGAACTTGAGACACCATTTGTAGGTGCCAAACACGAGCACACTTTTAACCTTTTGGTAGTTTCATTTATAATGACCATAACTTAAAACTACAATTGTCAAATTGGCAATTGCATGTTGAAGAAAACATTCCTTTTATTTTCCGCGAAAAATATAGTTATACGAGAATTTTATTTTAAGGTAAATTATGGAGCAACCTAATTTTAAAAAGGTAAATTATTAATTCTCCACAAATTTTGATGATCGTGTTATTGTATGAAAAAATAATTATCATCGATCACTTGTATTATTTGAATGTAACTGCGCCTTGTATTGATGATGATTGTATGATATAAGAGGGTTCTTGCGTGTAGAGAATTGAATAACAACCATATCGGTGATGACCTTTTTTACTTTAATTGAGATAAATTTAGCTGAATTTAATTTTATTGATTAAGTCTTTGTTTTTATTTTGATAATGCTACTAATTATATTATTGTTATTTCTAGATTGTGTGAATTGTGTGGTGCTTTTACTAATATGAGTTAGAAAGTATTGATACATCAAAGCGTAAAGAATTGCAAATAAAAAGAAATTTATTTAAAAATAAAAATGAATAAATTTTATTAAATTGTTTGAAGATAATGAATCTTAATGGTACATATCCATTAACACTTTTGAATAACTTATGCCTTGTTTAATCATACGAATATTATCATAATAAATAATTGAATTTTGAATTACAGGTTTTGTTCACCAAGGGTGTTCGTAAAGTCACGAGGAGTTTTCTTAAAATTATTATAGTATATTTGAGATTATTTATTTTTAGAATAATATCACGTTGCTAATTCATATAGATGGTGCATATTATATTTGTATTGATACTAAAATAGGTTAAAGTTTATTATATTTACAATAAAATCTTTTTATAAAGTAAGAAGTAAATTGATTGTGTGATTTAGAACCCGTTTGGTGATTGTTTTTCGAGTTATCAGACTTATTAACTATTTTTTTCATCAAGCACATAACTTTTTATTAGATGTGCTTAGGGATGGACTAAACCGGGCCGGCCCGACCCGGAACCGGCCCGACCCATTACTGTTTGGGCCCGGACCGGACCGGGACCAGTTGGCCGGTTCCGGGCTTTTAGCGCGTTTGGGCGGGTCGGGCGGGCCGGGCTCGGGCCCAACTTTTGGTGAACCGGCCGGGCCCGATTCATTTTTTTTGTTTTTTCAATTTTTTTTGCTTTTCTAGGTTAGGGTTAGGTGTTTTTGGGGGGGGGGGGGTTTGGGGGGTGGGGGTGAAGGGTGGGGGGGTCAGGTGTTAATTAGAAACCAAAAAAAAATTGAACTTGACCCGGGCCCGGCCCGGTTAGGCCCCGACCCGGTATCAACCTGGGCTGGTTCCGGGCCCAACAGTTTGCAAAAAAAGCCCGCCCGGCCTCGGCCCGAGTCCATCCCTAGATGTGCTGAATTGTGCAATAATAAGAAAAGTAAGGTTGAAATTACTTTTCTGGCTGTATTGACTGAAGTTATTGTATATGATCATTTTAACTATTTTTCATCTGACTTTTTTTGAAAAGATTTTTTCATTTGAATTTCATTTATAATGACGATGACTTAAAACTGCAATTGTCAAATTGGCAATCGCATGTTGAAGAAAACATATTTTCCGCGAAAAAATATTGTTATATGTGAATTTTATTTTAAGGTAAATTATGGAACAACTTAATTTGAAAAAGGAAAATTATTAATTTTCCATAGATTTTGACGGTTACGTTACTATGTGGAAAAATAATTATCACCGATCACTTGTATTATTCGGATGTACGTAACTGCGCCTTGTATTGATGATGATTGTATGATATAAGAGGGTTCTTGAGGGTAGAGAATTGAATAACAACTGTATCATTGATGACCTTTTTTATTTTAATTGAGAGAAATTTAGCTGAATTTAATTTTATATTGATAAAGTTTTTATTTTTATTTTGATAATGCTACTAATTATATTATTATTTTGTCTAGCTAGATTGTGTGAATTGTGTAGTGCTTTTACTAATGTGAGTTAGAAAGTATTGATACATCAAAGCGTAAAGAATTGCAAATCAAAAGAAATTTATTTAAAAATAAAAATGAGCAAAATTTTATTAAATTATTTGAAGATAATGAGTCTTAATGGTACATATCTGCTAACACTTTTGAATAACTTATGCCTTGTTTAATCATACGAATATTATCAGAATAAATAATTGAATTTTGACTTACAGGTTTTGTTCACCAAGGGTGTTCGTAAAGTCACGAGGAGTTTTTTTAAAATTATTATGGTATATATGGGATTATTTATTTTTAGAATAATTTTACGTTGCTAATTCATATAGATGGTGCATATTATTATATTTGTATTAATACTAAAATAGGTTAAAGTTTATTATATGTACAATAAAATCTTTTTATAAAGTAAGAAGTAAATGGATTGTGTGGTTTAGAACCCGTTTGGTGACTCTGTTTTTCGGGTTATCAGGTTTATTAACAATTTTTTTCACCAAACACGTAATCTTTATTATGTGCGCTGAATTGTGCAATAATAAGAAAAATAAGGTTGAAATTACATTTTCTGGCTGATTGACTGAAGTGGTAAGTCTAGTAAACAACAACACATTCATGCTATGCCAATTAACTTATCAATGAAATAAGTATATATACGATTACATATACTAGCTAGCTGCTAGGAGGTCCGGCAGAAAGTATATGGATAGAAAAGGGGAAGTGAACCATTACCACATGCAAAGGAAATTAATAGAAGAAGACTGGGAAGAGAATCGAACAAAATGGGAGAAAAGAGGGAGCTTGATCTTTGATTGTGACTTGATCAAGTACTACAATATGACATTTATTAAGTACTACTAACACCTTATTAAAAACAGAAATCGAGCTTCTATTCACAGTGACTGGGCCGCCCGGTCAAAGTTCGTATTTGCTAGACAATTTGACCTGTTTCATTTTTCACCGCTGCATTATCTTGTCTTTCATACTCATGTCGCTTTGATTGATTTGAATGCAGATCTATGGAGTTGATCCAATGTAGTTATTGAAGTCTTAAAAATGGCGCAACCAAAGAAAAATCTCAAGAATTTGATCCCACTTTTCATCCTCCTATCTCTCTCGGCCCTCTTCCTCTTCTCCTTCTCGCCCTCCCCAGCATTAATCACTCACCCTCCCACCCCGCTCCACCTCCAGACACCTACCACCACCACCGCTGACAACAAAAACTTCACTTTCATCATCAAGCTGCTCACATACAACCGCCTGTCCTCACTCTCCCGCTGCATCAACTCCCTCGCCGCAGCCCACTACGACGGTCACCCCGTCCACCTCCACATCTATATTGACCACTTCCCCATCCCCCCCAACGGTTCCCTCTACATTGACCAGAACCTCAATTCGTCAAGGCAGATACTCCATTTTGTTGATGGTTTTGCTTGGAAATTCGGCAGCAAGGTCGTGCATTACAGGACTTCCAATGCGGGCCTGCAGGCGCAGTGGTTGGAGGCCTGGTGGCCTAGCTCAGATGACGAGTTTGCCTTCGTGGTGGAGGATGATCTCGAGGTCTCGTCTTTGTACTTTAGGTTTCTGAAGAATCTGATTGTGCATTATTACTATAATACTTCGAATTTCAGCCCGATGATCTATGGGGCATCCCTGCAGCGCCCTAGGTTTGTTCCAGGTGCTATGCTGTTTGAGCTTGTTTTGAATGATTGTTGTGTCTAATTTAGCAGTAATCATGTCCTTTATCACACCTATTGATGAAAGTTGCAATCTAATATGCCAATTGATTTTTTTGTACCTATTTGAAAATTTTGAATTCCATCTTTCACTATATAGGATTTAAAATAGATCGAAGGAAATAACAATTGTGATTTAATAGAAGTTCAGATAGGATGAATGAGGAAGAAGTATATTCTCATTAAACTGAAATGATGATTACAGGGTGTATTTATAGAGGTTACAGTTCAGCTGAAACTAACTAACTAACTAAACATAACTAATACAATCCGTATGGTATATCTAACATTCCCCCCTCAAACTTAGTGTGACTTTGCTGGAGATGCAATGACACTAAGTTTGTTTCTCAAATTAATAAAAGATGAAGCAGACAAGTGTTTTGTGAGAACATCAGCCAGTTGATATTGAGCAGGAATGTGGAACACTTGTAGTTGTTTCAGTTGAACTTTCTCTCGCACAAAAAATAGATCAATCTCCATGTGTTTGATACGAGAGTGTAGAACCGGGTTGTGTGCCAGTTGGACTGTACTTTGATTGTCACAGTATATTCTTGGAGTGGTAAAAGGAACCTTGAGTTCACTGAGAAGAAACTGAACCCAAAGAAGTTCAGCTGCAGTATCAGCCATGCTTCTGTACTCAGCTTCTGCTGAGGATCTGGCAACACGCAATTGTTTCTTGGACCACCAAGAAATGATATTTGGACCAAGAAAAGTGCAGGATCCTGATGTGGACTTTCTGTCAGTGGGATCAGAAGCCCAATCAGCATCACAAAAAGCTGAAATAGGTAAAGGCATAGTAGATAGAGGAATAGGTTGGATGAGAAGTCCATGTGTAATGGTGCCAGAGAGATAACGCAGTATATGCTTGACTTCTTTCCAGTGATCATGCAGAGGTGCAGCCATGAACTGACAGACTTTATTTACTGCATAGCTAATTTCAGGTCTTGTTAAAGTAGCATACTGAAGAGTTCCTACTACAGATCTGTAGAAAGAAGGATCAGGCAGGGATTCACTCCCTTCATGAGTGAGTTTACAAGTACTGATCATAGGAGTCATGACTCCTTTGGAATCTAGCATTCCAACTTGATGCAATAAATCTCTGACATATTTTGCTTGAGAAAGGTGTAGGCTTCCATTTGGCAGTTTCTGGACTTGAATTCCTAAAAAGAAATCAATGTCTCCCAGATTTTTAAGAGAGAAAGATGAGTGCAGTTTGTTGATGAGAGTTTGTATGGCTGAAGAGTCATTGCCAATGACAAGAATGTTATCAACATAGATGAGGATGTAGATGAGGATACCAGAAGATGCAAAGAGAAGTAGAGAAGGATCACATTTGCTTTGCTTAAAACCAACACCATAAAGAACTGAAGTCAGTTTGTAGAACCAGGATCTAGGTGCCTGTTTTAAGCCATATAGGGACTTGTGAAGTTTGCAGACCAAAGATGTATCTTTTACTTGAAATCCTTGAGGTTGAACCATGTACACTTCTTCACTTGGATCTCCATTAAGGAAAGCATTATTGACATCCAATTGTTGAATAGGCCAGTGATGAGATACAGCAAGAGTAAGAAGTATTCTGATTGTGATAGGCTTTACCACAGGAGAAAAGGTTTCTCCAAAATCAAAACCAAATCTCTGATGGTGGCCCTTAGCAACTAACCTTGCCTTGAACTTATTCAAGGAACCATCTACATTTTCTTTCACCCTGAAGACCCATTTGCATCCTATAGCCTGTTTATCTGGAGGAAGAGGGACTAAAGACCAAGTGTTGTTAGAAATCAATGCATCATACTCAGTTTTCATTGCAGCAGACCATTGAGGAGAAGTAAGAGCCTGCTTGACTGACCTGGGCTCAACATGAGCTAATAGTAAGGTTGGATTAAGTCGTGGTTTAACAATTCCAGATTTGGCTCTGGTTTGCATGGGGTGAGTGTTAGTCAGAGGAGCATTAGATTCAGAAGAAGAGGATAATGAGTGTGATGCAGATGAAGTAGACTGTGAAGGAGAAGAAGTGGGAACAGAATTAGACTGAGATGAATTAAGGTGTAAGTGGGAAGGAGTAGAGATAGATTGAGAGGTATTATGTTGTGATTGAGAGGGAGAAGAACCTTGTTGAGAAGAATCTGTTTGGGATAAAGAAGTGGAAGAATCAGATTGAGAAGAGGAATTGGAAGGGACAATGGTTATGGGAAAAGACTGTGAAGTAGTGGAGATACAGGGCTGGTGAGGCACTTATAGCCTTTGTGTTGGGAAGAATAACCTATAAACACACACTCTTCAGAGTGAAAATCCATTTTGTGTTTATTGTAAGGTCTGATAAAAGGAAAACATGAACATCCAAAGACTCTGAGAAATGAATAATCTGGAATAGAGCCATATAGCTTAAAATATGGACTTGAATTTGCAATTGACTTTGAGGGAGTTCTATTTGAAAGGTGAACAGAGGTTGCAAATGCAGCATCCCAGAATTTATGTGGTAAAGAAGAATGAGCTAGAAGAGACAGACCCTTCTCAACAATTGTTCTATGTTTTCTTTCAACAACACCATTTTGGTGATGAGTGTGAGGACAAATGATTCTATGTGTGATGCCTTTGTCAGTGAGGAATGTGGTAAAGGATCTAAACTCACCTCCCCAATCAGATTGAATAGATTTAATGGAAACAGAAAACTGGTTGAGAACATATTGGTAAAAGTTTTGAAAGGCAGTAAGGGCATCAGATTTCTTTTTCAAAAAGTAAATCCAAGTATATCTTGTGTAAGCATCAATGAATGAAATATAGTAAGAGTATCCATCAAAAGATGACATGGGAGCTGGTCCCCAAAGATCAGTGAAAACCAATTCAAATGGTGAATGAAAGATGGTAGTAGAGGGAAAAGATGGAAGTCTATGTGCTTTACCAAGACAACCAGAAGAGCAGAAATCAATATTATTTTTATTAGTAGAAGTAACATTACAATGTTGCATTACAGATTTGAGAGCCTCAAAGTGAGGGTGGCCTAGCCTCAAATGCCACAAATTACAAGAAAGAGAATTAAAAGACTGAACATGATTACATGACTTATTTTGAGATAAAGATTGACTGGAAACAAGAGCTGGAAGGGATTGAAATTTGTAGAGACCATCTGCACCTAGAATGCCATGTAGAAGGACCTTTTTAGAAGCCTGTGATTTAACAAAACACTCATGAGCATGAAACTCAAAGAAAACATTATTATCTCTTGCAAACTGACTAACACTTAGTAAGTTTTTTGTTATGGAAGGAACATGGAGAATGTTGTTAAGTAAGAGTGTATAAGAAGGATGAAAAGGAGAAGAAAAGGAAGAAAAACCAATCGACTTAATGTCCAAACCTTGGCCATTGCCCATGAACAGCTTGTCAGTGGTAGCAAGTGGCTCACTATGTTGAATGTTGAGAGGATCAAGGGTGACATGGTGTGAAGCTCCAGAATCTGGAAACCAGTTCTGTACATTAGGAGGTGGTCCTAGCAATGAAGTGTTTGCAGAAGCCCAAGCTGCAGTTGGAGTAGGTTGATTTTGAGATGATGATGAAAAATGATAATTGGTAGGCCCCCAATTTGTATTCTGAGAGTGCTGATTTGGAATGTAGCTTGGTGTTGGTTGGGTAAACTGTGGATATGGATGAGGATGGGATGGAGAATAGTTATCGTGAGGATGAGGTGTAGAATTTGGATATGAAACTGTTTGTGGAGGATAAGAGCGATAAGAATGAGATGTAGGTTGTGGTAATGAAGGATTAGATACTGTGTAGGTAGGATTATGGTTTGGTAATGTAGGGTTAGAGAATGTATAGGCAGGATTATACCTGTGATAGCAAATAAGAGCACTATGACCAACCTTGCTACAAACTTGACAAATGACAGAACTGCGACCACCAGATCTGCCACCTCTTCCTCTGTTAAAACCTCCGCGGCCTCTACCTCTGTAGGTAGTGTTTGTACCAGGATTGTCATATTGAGCAATTTGTGCAGCTGGACTTTCTGAGGAGTTTTGAGAATCAGTATCAGTTTGTACAGGTGTTTCTTCAAGTTGAGCAACATTTGCATAGAATAAAGTCTGTTGCGAAGAGTCTCGAAGCTTTCTTATTCGCAGCTCTTTAGCTAGCAGGAGAGATTCAAGCTCAGATAAAGTAACAGGATCTAGAATGCTTCTGGATGTGACAGAAGATACGATTGAATCGTATTCTTCTGGGAGGCCTTCAAGGATCACGTTGATATGATCCTTTGTTGAAATAGGTTCACCAACGGAAGTTAGATTATCAATGATAGTCTGTATACGAAGGAGATAATCAGAAATGGAGCGATCACCTTTTCCAGTGTTATACAGCTCGGATTTCAGCTGGCGAGCCTTCGCGACAATGTTCGACCGGAAGAAATGCTCGATTTCACTCCAGAGCTGATGCGAGAAAGTGCAATTGATGACACACGAGCATGAAACGATTCCGAAAGAGATGCCAATAACCACGAAAACAGCATTTGATCTTGCTGTTCCCAAACACAGTAATCTTCATTGATAGTCTTTGTCGCGCCATCACCACTGATGATAAATTGATCTGGAATTTGAGGATTTTCAATGAATTTTTGAAGTTTGTGAGCTCGAATCACAGATTTGACATGATCTTTCCAGAACGAAAAATTATTGGAATCAAGTTTGATTGGTAAGGGATGATGAAAGATTATAGGAGAATTTTGAGAGATTGAGTGAGAAGAAGCTGAATCAGATGTCGAGTTCGTCATCCTTGAAAACGAAGGAGCTCTGATACCATAATAGAAGTTCAGATAGGATGAATGAGGAAGAAGTATATTCTCATTAAACTGAAATGATGATTACAGGGTGTATTTATAGAGGTTACAGTTCAACTGAAACTAACTAACTAACTAAACATAACTAATACAATCCGTATGGTATATCTAACATGATTAAAATGGATATCGAGTACAATAGAGGTAACTGGCAAATGCGTTCATTTTTTTGTAGGAGTCGTAGTTGAGCCTGTTCTAGAAGAAACTTTAGTAGTTTGGCAAGTTTAAGTTTCGTTTGTTAATGTTTTTGTTTTTCGTTGTGTTTTCTCTTTTCTTTAAAATAGAAACACGAAAATATATTCGAACGCAGTTCTTTGTTCCCAGTTCCTGAAACAATATAAAACTTTGAAAGTTATTGGAAAACAGAAGTTGTTGGTTTTCATATGCTTTTAAAAACTATGCTTCTGTTTTGACACTTTTTTATACGAGTAATAAATATTTTAAAAATAAGAAGCATCATATATTTGCATTTTTAGTAATACATAACATATTCACATTTTCACATATACAAAAGTCTGTTTTGTTTCAAAATAGATATGCAAAACATGTTTGTATATTTTAAAGATTTGAGACCCAAACTATGTAAACAGAATATATAGAAGACAAAACATGAAAATTAGGCAAATGAGCCGTTCATATTCAGGATTTGGAACTTGTGCACTGACAATTGTCTGCAAGGTTGACTCCATCAATGATGCTGAGCAGTGCAGTTTAAAGCATGAAAATTAGTGTTTTACCACCTTTGGATATGTATATGACTTGCTAGCTGTTGGTAGTAGTATGTGGTATCTGTGTTGCTGTGTACCTTCTATGTTTTCTCGTATACACAGTTGCTTCTTTTTTCCTTATTTGCCACTGCCTTGAGAAATATGCGAGATTGTTTTACCTCCCTAATATCGTAATAATTGGTGTGTTAGGGATTATATTCCCGCCCTTGTCAATCAAATCTAAATGGAAATTGTTTTAGTGCATATTTAGATCTTTAGATGATATGAGCTGTGCATAGGTCCCTCAGAATGTAGACTTGTATTTCAGATTCTGTATGGCTGTGAATATCTATAATCTTATACTGTTGTGGTCTGAATTGGTTATGACCAACAGGTAAGCATGGAAACAAAATGGAAGTAGATAGTAGAACTCGGGTCTTTCTATACCAGTTGGTTGGAACTTGGGGCCAACTTTTGTTTCCAAGACCTTGGAAAGAGTTCCGTTTGTGGTATGACACTCACAAGTCTAAGGGCATGAAACCTTTTCTGGATGGAATGGTAATTTTTGCTGCACCCTCTATTCGTTCTATCTTTGGTCTAGGGCTGTTTGGATGGAGGGTTATGGAGGCGTTTGGAGAGGAAGGTTTTGGACGGCCGAGTCTATATATTGTTATATATTTGGGCTTTTATACAAAGAACAAAAGATTAATAACTAATGTGATTGTATATCATTTCAATCACCTTTTATTCGATTTTAGAAACATGCTATTTCTCAAGATGGAGACCAATCCCTCCAAAGTTTTCACTTCAAATTCTCTGTGCAAACAGAAGTCTGTTAGGATTTAGGGTTTGGAGGGCCAAGTGGGAGGCTTAGTACATACATTCTCTTATATTTATTTGACATTTTATAAAAATTGAGAGATTGACATAATATTGGGTTGTTTAACAATTCTATCACTTTATTGTCTTTTAGAAACATTCCATTTTTCAAGAGATAGACTATTCCCTACAAAGTTTCCATCTCCAAAACCCTCATTGAAAAATACCCTATGTAGATAAAAATGGACTTTGACATTACCGCTTTATTATACTTTTGGTAGATTACAACCGGATGGTACAAAAAGATGGGAGAAAGAATATGGACTCCTTGGTTTATTAAATTCATTCAAGCTCGTGGTTACTTCAATATCTATACAAATCTTTTGCATGAAAGAGCACTCAGTGTGTCTCATCGGGATGCTGGTGTGAACTATGGGAAATCAGCTGGACCAGATTCCAACTTAGTTAGTGAGAATTCTATTGATGCAAATCATTTGGAATTGCACCCTTTGCATAGCATGAAGTGGTATGATTTCTGCTTCAAAGAAGTTTTTGTTGACAGGATTGTACAGAACTTCAATGAACTTGGGTTGGTTCTCCCCTCTCTGCAGAAACTGAGTAACATTATACTTGTGACCATACATCATGAGTCAGAGTCTGTTGTGAGGAACTTGCTTTGTCATTTTGAGAGAACGTATATCCGAAACTACATATTAATGGGCCCAAAGTCCGATCTCTTAATTGATCTCGCAAGGAGAGGGCACCCTGTCATCGACTCAGGCAGAATGTACGAGAATATCAGAGTTTTGGACAATTCTACCCTTGAACCGAGTAAGGAGATTTTTGTCCAGGCATATGTGATTAGAAAGTCCTTGGAACTGGGGTTAGGCATCGCTGTGGCAGATATCAACCGGATTCCTCTGAACAGTGATTCCTTCCTCAATATCTTCGATCTTGACCGAACTAATGATTTCTTTCTGGGAAAGAACTTGGAATTAATCCTTATTAGGAGTTCATCTTCTGCCTTGAAAACTTGGAATGACAACATTCTGACCGAGTTAGGTGGCGAGGATGCGACCACAAATGGGAAGAATTTTGTCCAAGTGGTCAAAAAGTTATTTGAGCAGAAAAAAGTTAAATTCAACACCTTCGATGAAAACAGTTCTAGTGTAAATGCCAGTTCATTAAACACCACCCAAATGTCAATACCAAATGATGCGAGATTTGTGTTTTGGTCTTCAGAGATGAATACAGATCTGATTCAGCAGCAGCTTGTGCAGATAGGTCTGTGGATTATTGATAGTGATATGTCTTGCACTTCAGTCATTTGCTACCCTCCGTGACTTTTGATGGCATTAGCAGTAAGACATTGTTACTTGGGTACTCCATATTTGCAAGTATAGTTAAAGTTAAATGCCAAATTGTGGATCAGAGTATAGTGACAATTCCCAATTTTGTCTCAGAGTTTCTGTGTCGCTTGGTTGCATCTATGACTATGCAAACTTTCCCAATATAGTCCATTCTAACTGTAATTCAGTTTTTACTCCACATATGAATACTGAAATTCCCCCGAATATTTCAATGAAAACTGCTTTGGTTATGTTTAAACGGGATACAATGGCTTATATGGGGAGGCAGATAATAGGTTAGAGCATTGCAGTCTTTCTTGCTGCAGTAGTCTATTGTCTTTAGCTGGAGAAGAAGTGATGAACCATGGTGGTCATCTATACCTTTTAGGCCCACCCCATATTTAAATGCATCTGGATTGCCACAGATATTGTAAATTTGGGGCCCAATGTTGAACTAAACCACTGCTTTTGTTGCCTTCTTTGTTCTAAGTTCTAACAGTTCATTTATGGTGTACACTTTTCTTTCTTTTGTAATGGAATAATGAATGATTCGTACTTAATCTTTTGTTGTTGTAGTAGTGACCACATCCCTTCGTTCAATACTTCAGATATGGAGTGATTGAATACTTGCCTTTCATCCAAAAAAATCAAATATGGAATGATTGAAATTTGGCAGTCCTTTTTTGGTCAATTTCTTTATAAAACACTTGGACAGTGATGTGTATAAATATATGATAATACGATACTTCCTTCATCCTCTTATACTTGTCTTACTTTCTTTTTGGATTGTCCTGAAATAAAAGACACATTTCCTTTTGTAAAAATGAAAATTTGTGGTCTACAATATTTTCCTTTATTATATCCGAATTTCAGTTATAACTTTTACTTTTCGGACCATTTTATTAATAATTGTGTCAAACTAATGTAGACACAAAAAAGTAGAACAAATGTAGTGTATGATATGATAGTGTTGGATTCCGATAGACACTTCCAAGTGTACCACTATCCTACTACCTCCGTAACACAAAGATCTTCCCATTTTGACTTTTCACGGTCTTCTAAGTTGAACTTTGACTCTAAATATCTACATATCTATATTTATAAAATTCATAATAAATTAACATTCAAATAATATGTTTTACAATGAGGTATATGAAATAAATTTTTAATCATAATATAATGTGAGATTTGAATAATTAATGGTCAAAGTTTATAAAGTTTGACCCAAAAAAGTCAAATTGAGAAGATTCTAGGGTTATGGAGGTAGTAATTGATAGTATTTCTTTTGAATTTTTTAGGTCTCATTGCTCCCCAACTCTGCAACCTTGAGTCTAGCCCGACCTGACTTTGAGAGTATTCAAATGGAGGTGCACAGTCAGACACTTCGAAGTGTCCACCTCTTCTTTGTTTCTTCCCCAATCTCATTGGTCTCTGGCCGCATAGAATGAATAATGGATAATGGATAAATGGTCATTGAATAAAATTTATGAAATATTGTAGCGCAACAGAGTTAGAAGAGGAATAGATAGTGTGTGTTATGGTTGAGAGTTATGCGAGATTGCGAGTATTGTGCACGGACAAATGGAAGATCAACTAAAATTTACTAAGTTCCGGTTGTTAGTTATATGTGATATGTAAATTCAGCGCATTAGTCCTCTGTGATTTTAAAAAGTGTCAAACTCCCTTGTGTTTTAATTAATTATGCGCAAAATCCCTTCTATGAACAAATTCAATTGTCAAATAAAGGAAAAATGATTAACATTTTTGTATGATTTAGAGATTTTGACATATTTATTTGTATATTCAATCAAAATATTAGGAAAAGTGATTTCAAATCATTAAATTTATTCATAAAAGGGGTTTTGTGCAAGATTAATTAAAACACATGGGGGTTTGATGCACTTTTCAAATCCCATGAGGCTAATGCATTGAATTTCTATATCACGAGAGGGTTCGCTGCATTAAGCCCGTTGTATGTGAGTGCTCATATAAAATGGTTTCTCATATAACCCCAATGTTTATACAGTACAACATTACTCTTTTATTGATTTTTATTCAAATTTAATTTTTACTGAGTCAAGGTTGCTCACTATGTAGCGTCACAAAGAGTTAATAAGCATAATGAATTTTATTGCAATGATACATGAAAGAAATTTGAAGACCGTGCGTTGATTGTAATAAGTAAAATATGTAATTAACTTACTCTGTAATACTTATGATGTCAAAAGGGCAATTTCTTGACTCTCTTCAATGTATTTAACCCAATTCTATGATTTATTTACTCAAATGTGAACTTAGACTGTTCTAAACTTAATGCTCTATTCAACTTGTTTTTTTTATAATTTATTACAACCTAATTTAACTTAAATATGCTTAATTCCGAGATTACTTGAAACCCAGTAAATCAATTTTAGGTTTTGTATTGAAGGTGTTTGTAAACTAATTTAAGCTCTGTTATAGAAATAATATTTAATATATGACTAAATCAAGAATAATGTACAAAAATGTGAGTCAATTGGTGAGTCACTTTTATCACATGTTTGCCCACATATTTTATTTTAATAATACTTTAGAAAAAAACCTCTCTACCATAATCACACATTTAGCGAACTCAGTCTTATCAAAATTAACTCTTATATTAACATGGGCAACTTAACTCAAACAATTTATATTTTATTTTTTCCCTAAAATATTATAGTACTAAAATAAAATGGAAGAACAACTTTAAATAATATCAACACTTATTCATAAACCAATAAAATACAACTTAAAAATGATTTATAATAATACCAACAATTTGAATGTAGAACAAAAAAAATATGGAGTAACTTTTCTAAAAGAAATCCTATCATTTAAGACATCAAAAACTAATATCAAATCATCAAATAAATGGTTTGTGAAAATATAATCATTTATTTGATATTTTGATATTACTTTTTGAAGAGTTAAATGGATGATTTTTAGAGAATTTATGTTTTATACAGAGTATCTATTTTGATACATATTCAAGTAGTTCTATTATTAAAAGTTATTTCTAGATTACATATTATTATTGATTAATGGAAAATGATTTGTATTATTTAAAGTTATTTTTCCAAATAAAACTTATAACAACTCTGTTACTACGGTGAATATAAACATACTTTTGTAATTACTATGGTATAAAACATGAAAATAACTACAATCACTAAAATTTAGGGAAAATGAAAACTAATAATCCAACTTTTTAACGGTCTTCTTATAATAGTCTCACCTTTTGATTATTCATGAATAATCCAACCTTTGCATCCCATCTTCATTCACTGGTCCCTGACCGATTTATGACATGTTATTCTAAGTTATTTTCTTATCTTTGTAAAACATTATGTGATAATAAGGCGGGAATTATGGTATAATGTTTTCCAAAGATAAGAAAATAACTTGGAATAACAGATCATAAATCGGTCAGGTGCCAGTGAATGAAGATGGGATGCAAAGGTTGGATTATTCATTAATAATCAAAATGTGGGACTATTGTAAGAAGAACACTAAAAGGTTGGATTATTAGTTTCCATTTTCCCCTAAAATTTACTACCTCCGTATCAAAAAACTTTGTCATTTTAAAAAATTTGAACATTGATTTTGATTAATACAATATTATGGAAATTATAAATTTTATACTTTTATGAAAGTACTTTTAATAAAGAATATTTTCATATAATTTTTTTATTATATTCTGTAAATATTTTCAATAAAAAGATACAGTCGGTCAAAATTTTGAAAATGACAAAGTTTTTTAGGATGAAGATAGTATAATACTCCCTCCGTCCCGTTGGAATGTTCCCGCTTTCCTTTTTTGGATGCCCCGTTGGAACGTTCGCATTTCCCTAAATGGAAAGTTATCCTACATTAAAACAGGGTCAAACAGTGCAAAACAATGTCAAACAGTGTCGAAACAGTGACAAAGTGTGTCGAAACAGTGTCAAACAGTAAAATTTACCCACTGGTAAGTTTATTTCCTTAATATGTGTGTAGGTCAAACCGGGAACATTCCAACGTGACGGAGGGAGTATAACATTTTTGTCCAATATCCTTTTTACTCATATATCACGTATAATAATTTTTTATATATTATAGAAATTAGTTCAAATAGGACTAAAACTATGGCAAAAACCTAAAATATGACTTGCTATGTTTTTATTCCAAAATAGGACCATATGAGTCCTATTGGAAACATACCTATTTTTGCATTACATTCTTACACTTCCATTAAATATGAATTAAAAATAGTCAAAAGCCATAATTAAATATTTAATTCATAATAAATTCGAAAAAAATTCAAAAATTCGTAGAAATATAAGTAAAAAATTTATAAAAATTTTATAAAATAAAAAATTCATTTTTTAAAAATAATTTTATTTTTAAAAAAATTAATAAAAAATAGTAAAACTCCGTAAAAAAAAATTAAAAAATATGGATGCCTTTCCCACCGTCTGTACTACCTCCCAGCACCACCACCTCCGGCCGATGAAAAAAATGCCATTTTCCCAGAAAAATGCCATTTTTTTCTGAAAATGCCAAAAAAGTGGCATATTTCTCTTTTCGAATGCCAACATTTTCATTTTTTCTGCCATAAATATGGCATTCGTAATGAACTTGGCATTTTTTTCCCCTAGTGACCGGAGGTGGTGGTGCTGAGGCGGCAGAGGCGGCGGCGATTTTTTTTTGAGTTTTTATTTTTTTTTAATTTTTTTAAATTTGTTTTGAATTTTTTTAATTTTTTGAAAAAAAAAATTAATTAAATTTTTAATATCGAAATGTTTTTCTTAATTTTTTAGTATTTTTTATGAATTTTTATTATTTTCTATTATTTTATTAGGAATTAAAACATTTTAATAGCTATAAGGGTATAATTGTCCAAGGTACACATAATTAGTCCTATGCAAACATAGTTTTTTTTTGGTCCTATTTGTGAAAAATGAATGACTTTTAGTCCTATTTTGATAATTAACTCTATATATTAACATTTCATTTAAATTCAACAAGTTTGCTCAAAATGACCAACAACGTTCACACGGTGTCGTAAGGGTAAAAAAAGGTCGTTCAGGGCTGTAAACGAACCGAGCTTTTATCGAACTATTCGAGTTCGAGCTCGGTTTCGAACCTAACGAGCTTTCGAACACGAACTCGAACTGAGTTTTAAGTTCGAAAACTTAATCGAGCCGAGCTCGAACATAGTAGTATTCGGCTCGGTTCGAACTCGAGCATATCGAACACCTGAAATTATAAATATAATATATATATATATATATATCAAAATTTAAATATAATTAGTATGATTTTATGAATTTAAATATGATTACTAACGAACCGAATACTTGTCGAATCATTCGAGCACGAGCCTATTAACGAGCATCACCTAAAATTTTAAATTCGAGCATATTTATCGAGCATCGAAAATCTATCGAGTCGAACACGAGACTCATCTGTAAAGCTCTTTGGTGTTCCGGCTCCTCAGGCTCTTTAACCCGAACACCCTGAGCCGAATTGGAGTAACGTGTCGAATTTCGAACTCGAACCCGAACAGCATTGGTGTAACGGGTCGAATTTCGAACTCGAACCCGAACACCCTGAGCCGAATTGGAGCTTTGGTGTTCCGGCTCCTCAGGCTCTTTAACAGCCCTATTCAGGACTCGCAGCTGGGTAGATAATTTCCGATCACTTACAAATTGCTGTAACACAAACGCTGCCAGAGAAAGAACTCAACTAACCAAATGGCCGAGTCGGCTTCCTCTTCATTATCGGCCCCGGCGGCTGTGACGATGTCTTACTGGTCAGCAATGCTTTCGGGAAAATCTGACGTAGAGAAAGAGGAAATGCTTGACCGGATGCTGACTAGGCTTGCGCTCTGCGATGACTCGAAGCTGCAAGACTTGCTCTTCAAGCTTCTACCTCTCTCCATTGCATCGCTTTCCTCCCCATCACCTCCAATTAGAAACAAAGTAAAATCTTTCCTTGTGCCTCCCATAAACTATCTGCTCCCATCTTTTTGTAGCGATTGCTTGATTGATCAGTTGAGCACATTCTAGTTATACTATAGCAATCTAGTTTGATGGGTTTAAAAATGAACTTGAAGCTCTTTTGGTGAGAATGGTTCTTAATTTGAACGAAATGCAATTTTGGTTGTAAGGTGACAGGTTTAGTGGGTGATAGGAAGTAGGGACAAAGGTCCCAGAAGTTTTACATACAATTCAGATTGAAGATACAGTTTTATTTTATCATTTGAATATAAAAATAAGAACTTTATTACCCCAAAGTTAATCTGGGGGAATTCGTATATTATTGTTTCACACTTTGGACGTTGTAATGGATGAGCTCACAAGTCACAATGATTTGTTTCAACATTTTTTGGAGGAAGAGAATTTAGCTTTTTGATTCTTAATGGAACAACCTATAATTTAGATGTGCTAGAAATGATATCCATGTGTAATTGACATAGTTTACTAGTCATTGGTCTTCATATATTCTCCTGTAGAAAATTGTGTGTGTGTGTGTGTGATATGCCATGAGAAGGTGCTTTGACTTGCATCTAATCTGAATCTGTATGCAAGCTACTGATTTTACTGCAGAAGTGTTGTGTCTGTTATTAAGACTGAATCGTGCAAGTTCATTTATACTTCTTATAATCTTATTAATGTGTTGTTATATGGGATTGGGTATATGTTTATATTTTACTCCGTATTATCTTCTCTAGGTAATCGAGATCTTAAGCCATGTAAACAAGAGAGTGAAACACCAACCATATATCGGGTTGCCATTATCTGAGTTATGGCAGTTGTATATAGAATCCAGTGCCTTTTCAATGGTCAGGAACTTCTGTATTGTGTATTTTGAGATGTCAATAGAACGTGCGCCGAAAGAGGTCTGAATTGATAATCTCCATACATGCATTTTGTTTTGCATATTATAGAAGAAATGGGTGCTTGTAAAATTGGATCTGGGAGAATTATTTCACACTAAATAATGAACATTTACGTGACCCGATTTTCAATAGGACAAGGAACACATGGCACTTACTCTTTTAGCTAGCATTTCAAAAGTCACTGCTCAGCATCAGGAGATACTATTGAGAATCATTATAAAGGTGATTTTCTGTTATCTTCTTATTGGGAATGTATATCACTTCATCCATTTCTATTTTTTTAATATTGACTGTTACTTTCTTTTGTTTCGTTTTTCTTTTATTTTTACTCTCTTCTACATCTTTAAATGATGTACTCTGAGAAGGAAAAATTCAGCGTTATTCATATGGGTAACATATCATTTCAAATTATCATATTATCTTGGCTTTTAATAGCTGCAACACTATAGTTTCTGGAGTATATATTCTTAATATGTGAAGTCCATAACTGACTAATTTTAATGGGAAATTTTATTAGGTAATCCGTAACCCTCAATGTTGAAATTTTCTATATATGTGGTAACTCTGTGATATGGAAACTAGCTGTAGCTTGGTCAAAAGTACGCCATTCTGTGAGACTATCTCACTATCTTTACTAATTTTACATGATTTTACATGGTACCCATCTTATTTGAGATTCTCTCTATGGCAGACAAAGGAAAAACTTATCATTCCATTTATATCATTAGTTTACTCAAATTTGACATTATGAAGGGATAAGATACAAATAACTATTGCATGTAGACAGGAAGACTTGTCATTTTATTTTATAACATTAATTTACTTAAATTTTGCCATTATATTACTACCTTGGTTCCAAGTAAACTATGCCATATTTTTTTGGTCCTCCCAAAGAGTTCGCCACGCTCCCTTTAAAGTAACTAATTTGTTTTTCTGACTGCCACCTCCTCTCTAAAACCTCAACCATACAAATTTTACTCTCTTATTTTTGTGTTAGTCAAACTTGGCAAAGTTTTAAAGGACGAATGGAGTATTGATTTGTATGCAATAATTATTCGTATATGACGATATCTAAGATTGGTTAGGTTATTTCAAACTTTTTAGCAACCATTTGAAGAATTGTTGTTTTTATAAAAATTCAGTTCTAATAAATTTTATGAAGAATGGACATAAGAACCGTTAGCATCATATAATTGTTATTTTCAATTTACTGCTGAATTGACAACAAGCAAAAGCCCAATTTTAAGCAACCACGATTAAACATATATGATGATTTTTTTAAAGAAATAAATCATTACACAAAGTAGATTAGCTGAATGAAAAACCAAGAAGTTGAATTGTTTAACTTTCCAATTTAAAAATTGCATACGTGTTCAATGCTCAGTTGCTCACACATGTGTATATATGTATTTAATTAATTAAATATATATTCTACAAACATATTTTTAATAGGAAGAACTGAACCATTAACAAAACAAGGAAAAAGAATCGATAGGAATTAATGGAAGCGTATACTATACAACTGGCTGTAGGATGGCACCGTACAACCGCATGCAATTTCGTAATTTTGGTGAAAATCTCGGCTTCTCTTAAATGAGCATTGATGCAATTTTGGTGAGCATCAAGCCCGTTCTTTTGAGTATTAGGAGCTTAACAATGAGCATTGTGATCTCTGCTTCATATCTTCTAATTCTCTTTCTTTTTAGGGAAAAGAGGCAAATAAACCCTCGAACTAACCGAAAAAGTGCAAATCACCCCCTTTTATAGGAGTCTCTGTCCGGCCGTCGCCATTTGAGGCGGTTCCCGGTGGAATTTTTCGATGAACTTTTTTGAGCATCTTCTTCATTAAGCCTAGTTTACTCATACCAAAATTCAGCTAAAACTTCAATCGTGAAGGCAGTCAAATAAATGTTTGAAGATAACTGGCTAACTGCGCAGTTAAACAACGCAATATATTTCAGAAAATCATTTGACTGCCTTCACGGTTGAGTTTTTACCTGAAATTTGGTATGGGTAAACTAGACTTAATGAAGAAGATGCTCAAAAAAATTAATCGAAAAATTCCACCGGTAAACGACCCAAATGGCGACGTCCAGACAGACTCTCCTATAAAAGGGGTTATTTGCACTTTTTTGGTTAATTCGAGGGCTTATTTGCACCTTTTCCCTTCTTTTTATTATTTTTTTGTTTATAAAAAATTCTTAAACAAGGAAAAAAATTTGATAGGAATTAATGGAAGCGTATACTATACAACTGGTTGTAGGATGACACCGTACAACCGCAGGCAATTTCGTAATTTTGGTGAAAATCACGACTTCTCTTAAATGAACATTGATGCAATTTTGGCGAGCAATCAAGCCCGTTCTTTTGAGTATTAGGAGCCTAACAATGAGCATGGTTATCTTTGCTTCATATATTCTAATTCTCTTTCTTTTTAATATTTTTTCGTTTATAAAAAATTCTTAAATCATGTCTATAATCAATTTCGATTAGTTTCAATATGTGAATCTAATGTAGTATGATATGTTTGAAATGTGCAACATTTTAAATTGAGCATAAAGAGGTACCAATGAGCATACATAACTTACAAAATGAGCATCCAAAAATTCAAAAGCTCATTTGTGTATGCTCATTCATTTTGGGCGTAATACTCATTTGAGTTTAACATAAAACTCATTTCTAATGTGCTCAATATTCATTTGTGTATGTTCATTTCTTTTAGGTGTATACTAATTTGAGTTTGATATAATAGTAATAATACTCATTTGAGATCAATAGCAGCAAGGAGTCCTTAGCAACGAAGTAGACTCCCCTTGTCTCCGAAAATCGCAAGCTCAAACAGCAAAAATGCATAAGAAAAAGAGAAAATGGAAAAGAGTGGAAAGAAAGAGAGAGGGAGGAGAGGTAACTACGCTGGCGGAGCCGCTGCATTCGTGCCGGAGGAGAAGGGGGCTAGTGGTGAGCGGCGGCGATGAGTAGCAAGCTGGAGGAGAAGGGGGCGAATGCCGAGCGGTGGCGACGAGCAGCGAGCTGGAGGAGAAGGGGGCGAGTGGTGAGCGGTGGCGACGAGCAGTGAGCCTGGTGCGTAGCCATATCGAAGAAGCGAAGCGAGATCGGAAGAAGCGCAAAAGCCCAACAGGATGGAAAAGGCCGGCCGTACTGTGCGCACGGTACAGCCGGCTGTACGATATATTTTACGGGAATTAATAACCCATATGTAGGAATCAAACGTAACCAAGTTATAACGCTTGGTTCTAATTGGTTTCTCGGTCCCCAGTTTCAAAATTCCGGCCCTACATCTTACGAATTCACAACACTAAACTTAAGTAAACTAATGATGTAAAATAGAATATCAAAATTTTCAGCCATTGTACTAGAGGATTTCAATCTAGAGAGATTTCATGTAAATTAATAATGATATCAGATGGAATGACAAACTTTTGGTAACGTTACATTTTTTTCCCCATATTATGGGGTTACCATATGAGTAATGATTTTTTTAATCTACAAAACAGAAGATTCAGAAGTTGAGGGTTACGGGTTACCATATAGAATTTACCTTATTCTACAGTTCTGTTGCAATGAAAGTTTCATATGGATCTTTTTGTTATACATAGTGAGATTAATCAATTTAATCTCAGGTAATTGGTGAGTTCCATTCAGCACATCTCAGTGATGAATTAGTTGCAGAGTATAGAAAACTTGGTAGGTTGCAAAACAATGAGATTTTTCTTGAGTTTTGCCTTCACATGATTTTATATCAACCAACACCCCAGAGGTCCGTATGATTATTTTTGTTTCCGCTTTTATGTTTCATATTTTTACTTACATAGTAATGATAAGAAGTCCTTTATAGTGGGGCTTGTCCAGCTGGGTTATCACTTACTCAAAGCAACCGTGTCACTGGGAAACAACAATTGACAAGTGATGCACTGTGTCTTAGAAAGGTGAGAAGTTAAATAGTACGCTTGTTAGAAGCTTGAAAATTACTACTTACTAGCCTATCTTTATTTTCTTTGCAAAAATCACATGCACATATGCATACATACATGTAAACATTGTGCTTATTTGAAGTTTGATGGTTACAAGTCTATCTTGATTTCCTTTGCAACAATTACGTACATACAGAAAACATACTAATTATGCTGATTATTTGTTTCCACAGTTAGGAATTCTGAATGTCATTGAAGCCATGGAAATTGCTACTGAACTCGTTTATCCCCTTCACATTGCTGCCTGTGCTGATAGGTATTTGCTTTATTGACCAATACTGGCATTTAACTCATTTGAAATCTCTAACCTTCAAACTTTTGGTATTTTATGCATATATAATTGGAAAGGTAACCACTTATGTTTTTTTGTTTATTTTTTCCCCCTCAAGTCAAGAGTTAGTCGTAAAGAAAGGGGAAGAGCTTTTGAAGAAGAAAGCATCTGTTGTGAACTTGGAAGATCCGAACCTGATAAAAAAACTATTTTTTCTATTTAACGGTAGGCAAGATCTATTTTATTGACTTGTAAGACTATTTGTTTGTACATGGCCTGACTTCCAATTTGGCTGAACACTGAATATATTTTATTCAATGGAAAAAAATCATTTATAGGGTAAGGGAATATACTCTGATGAGGATGGGATTCTATTTGTGTCTAGAACTCTATCTTTTTCCAAAAGGTGTTTTGAGCTCAGATTTAGGTGATATGGAATTCTGTTTTGTTCATGTTCAATGTGTTTAGGTGATATGAGAATATTTTATGCATGTTGAACAATTAAGGGGTGTACATGGACTGGACTGGATGGATGGGCCAATTTGTCAAACCAACCAGTAAATGTATGTTTGTTAATTTTACCACCCAAACCAACCCTATCAGTTTTTGACCTCAATTATTTTAGGCTAGTTTGGGTCAGGTTAGCTTGTTTTGGGGTAGGTACTTGGTTTATGATTTACATCATTTCTTTTCTGTATGTATGAAAATGCATATTTCATCTTATTGTAATGATTAGAAAGTTGGTTCTAGTGTACTGGATGTTTTTTCCTGACCTGTATAATATCAGATTATCAGTTGTGCCATTCAGTCACTTTTCCCAAAAATGCTGCTTGTTTAGCTCTTGGCTTCAGATTCAATGAGCACTCTAATTTTATCTGTTAAACAATAAATAGGTACTACAGGTTCTGACCAAATTCCTCCAGAGTCTAGAGTTACCCCTGCAAATATATCTTTGAGAGTGAGGCTGATGTCTGTTTTCTGCCGATCAGTTTCTGCAGCAAATAGTTTCCCATCAACATTGCAGTGCATTTTTGGATGCATATATGGTATAAACATTTTCTTATCACAACATATGGGTTCTTTAGAATTGCATACAAGATTAAGAGCTCAAGAAGAGTGCATAATGTACTTCTGTACATGTTTGTGTGCATGCAGACATGCAGCTTACAGTAGTGCATAATACGGAGTATCTTTTAGATTTTTGGATTGGAACAAAAAAGATGTTTTTGTATTTATTAAAATGTAATGAAGATTATTACACTGGTGATCATTGATAGATGATTCCTTAATTCTCTTACTCATCTTTGTCAAAAGAACATGGATCTTCTTTGGTTGTGGTATTTACTTAGTGAACGATAGTTTATCATCATTTGGGGAAGTGAGCCCTTTTATTTTTCTGGGACACATGATGTGCTCTAATAAAATTTCCTCCATTTTATCCAATACTTTTCTGTTGCCTTACTTAAATTTTCTGATTTGAATGAAATTGCTCGAGAGAAACTACTCTCAACGGGTCTTTATTTATTAAGGTAAATAATTACAAGGAAAGAATCATATGCACATCAATCAGTAATTAATTCCTGATTTGATACAATCTGTACAATAAATACTAAAATCAGGAAGGAAATCATATCAAATCTCAACACTCCCCCTCAAGTTGGTGCGTAGATATCATATGCATCAAGCTTGTCACAAATATATCTTATCCTCGGACCTCGAAGTGACTTAGTGAGAAAATCAGCTTACTGATCATTTGAATTGATAAAGGATGTGAAGATTTCTCCAGAAATGACCTTTTCACACATAAAATGGCAATCGATTTCTATATGTTTTGTTCGTTCATGAAAGACGGGGTTAGAAGTGATGTATAAAGCTGCCTGATTATCAGAGATCAGTTTCATAGGCTTTAGTTTGCAAAACTTTAACTCAGACATTAACTGTTTCAGCCATATAAGTTCGCAAGTAGTGAGAGCCATGGCTTGATACTCTGCTTCGACACTTGATCTAGTGACAACACTCTGTTTCTTGTTCTTCCAAGAGATTAGGTTTCCACCAATGAAAACACAGTACCCTGAAGTTGATCTCCTGTCATTTGGACAGCCAGCCCAATCCGCATCTGAATATGCAGTAATATTGTCATAACCCCGGTTCGCATAAACCAGTCCTCTTCCAGGTGAACCTTTGATGTATCTTAGGATTCAAACAACTGCATCCCAATGACCGGAATATGATCAGAGGCACCGAAATCTATGATCCAAGATTTGGCGCAGCGGAAGCGTGGTGGGCCCATAACCCACAGGTCCTAGGATCGGAACCTGACTCTGATACCAACTTGAATTTTTTGATTTGAATGAAATTGCTTGAGAGAAGCTACTCTCAGCAGGTCTTTATTTATAAGGTAAATAATTTCAAGGAATGAATCATATGCACATCAATCAGTAATTAATTCCTGATTTGATACAATCTGTACAATAAATACTAAATTCAGGAAGGAAATCATATCAAATCTCAACAACCTTTTATTTCCCTTAACTTTGAAAAAAGCAACCCTAGTTTACCAAAGAAACTTGGAAGGGGGTGGGTCTCACACAATTAATGTGTGTGCACGTATTATAACGGTTAGAATATACATATTTAATAGTCAATATATTCTATGTGTATGTATATGGTAGCTGATATATTCTCTGCGATAGAGTAAATATTCTCTATTGTTGTAGAGTAAATATTCTCTGTAAATCTTGCAGATTTAGTTTCCTTTTGTATTCTCTAGCTTGTATGTATTTATTATACTGGCTATACCCAATGAACAACTGGCAATGATTTCATTGCATCTTTAATCTCTATTATTTAATTACATGGTATCAAAGTTACACAGGTTCTTCGAGTAGTATTTCCCGAAGTTCGACTCTGCTCTCTCCCTCTGGTTTGATTCAGCCTTCTCTTATGCGGCACAGGACGTTGTTCGCACGGCGCAGATGCGGTAATCAGGGTCGTGCAACATAGTCGTCGCATGTTTGATTTTCTAGACACTATCTGCACCAATTCTCTTACCATGTTCTTGTTATCACTCTTGCCCTAGTTGTCTATAAGCATGGGTGATGATAAGAAGAGCGTGACTGAGATTACGGTCGGTAATGCTAGAATTACCGAGAGAAAACTGACTAGTGCTAAAGATTACGGTTAGTGGAAACAGACTATTACTAGATATGTTAATAGTCTTGGTCTGGGAGATCATCTAACTGAATCGGCTCCTCCAATAAGTAATCCTGATGAAAGAAAGAAATGGATGATGGCCGATGATAGGTTGTTCAATCAAATTCAGAATACCCTGGATCCTTCTATATCATTACTCATCGTGATACTGCCAAAGAAATGTGGGAATACTTGGAGTCTATGTATGCCAGTAAACAAGATCTTTCTTATGTTCATCAATTACTGATGCATTACTATAGACAGGAGATGAAAGACCAGACGCTGTTTCAATATTACAATGAATGTAAACAGATTTGTGAGGAAAATGGTTCCGGTTCCCTATCATTGCTGATGTTAAGAGTATGCAAGAACAAGAGGAGCGGACACTTGTTCATGGTGTTTTGGCTGGGCTTGGTCCACAATATGAGGTATCACGGAGTCAAATATTGTCTGGTGGGACCCTTCCCAAATTTTCTGACCTCTATGGACGTCTCCTTCCGGTGTGAAAGGATGGGGAATCCAGAATGATGAACTCGGTTGATACTGCTGCCCTAGTCAGTGATGTGAGCCGTGGTAAAAGGACCAATTTAGTCGCTACTGAGGGGACTCGTAATTCTTCTCGCACATGTTATCACTGTGGAGCTGAGGGCCATGTGAAGAAGTATTGCTGTCTTGCTGAAAATTACATGGTCATCCACCACAGACATCCGGACAATTTCCTCACATGCGTGTTGCTAATACGGTTATCCAGGATGGTATCCTACTGACTCCTTCCAGTATTACTATCTAAGGCGATAAATACGCTCGGCTACAACAACCGTGCCTCACAGCCTCATCTGCCAACGGACCAGTTTATACAAGTAATCCTGCTGCATGCCTCTCTACATTATCACACAATTGGGTGATTGACTCTGGCGCAACGTACAATATGACTGGTAATGAAAATATTTTGTCTTCCTTTACCTCTTCTGCCACCCAGTCTCATGTTACTTTTTCAAATGGATCAACCGCATCTATCAATGGCCTTGGAACAACAGCTCTTTCTCGGAACCTTTCTCCATCTTCTGTTTTATATTTATCTCAATTTCCGTTTAATTTAGTCTCAGTCAGTCAGATTACTAAAGCCCTCAACTGTTGTATTATTTTTTTCCCCACCCATCGTCTTTTTTCAGGATCTTGGGACGAAGCAGATTATTGGTAAAGGCAGATTGCTTAATGGCTTATATGTTTTTGAATCCTTGGTGCCGAGATCTCTTGCATGCACAAGTTCGTCTCTGTTGAAAGTTCACTGCCAATTTGATCATCCATCGCTTTCTGTACTACAAAAAATGTGTCCTAGTCTGTCAAAGGAGTCTGTTTGGAAGTGTGAATCATGTCAATTTGCTAAGCATTACAGAACAACTTTCCCTCGAATAAATAAAAGTGTTGAGTCTAGTTTTGATTTAGTTCCCACTGATGTGTGGAGTCTTTGTCCTGTTGTTTCCAAACTTGGTCATCGTTATTTTGTCACATTTGTGGATGATTTCTCTCGTGTTATTTGGCTTTATCCTTTGAAATCCCGTTCAGATGTGTTTTCTGCATTTTGTACCTTTCATGCTGAAATTCAAACTCAATTTAATAAGAATATACGCATTCTAAGAAGTGATAATGCTAAAGACTATCTATCTAGCACTTTTTAGACTTATTTATCTCGCCATGGGATTTTACACCACACTTCTTGTCCCTATACACCCCAACAAAATGGTGTAGCTGAACGAAAAAATCGTCACCTACTAGAAGTAGCTCGAGCCTTAATATTTCACATGGGGGTTCCTAAACCATTTTGGGTAGACACTGTATCTACTGCGTGCTACCTTATCAATCGTATGCCTTCTTCTGTTCTTAATGGTCAGATTCCGTATTCCGTTTTATTTCCTTCTCAGTCACTGTTCTCTCTTGTACCTCTTGTGTTTGGTTGCACGTCTCAAAATTTGATCCTAAATCAATCAAGTGTGTTTTTACGGGTTATTCTCGATTACAAAACGGATATCGATGTTGTTCTCCTTCACTGGGACGTTATCTTATCTCTGCAGATGTCACTTTTTTTTGAAGAAACGCCTTTCTTTCAGTCTAGTTCATCTTCATCCCCTTCTTTGGAACTCCCTAATGATGAGTTTCTAATATATACCATCAGCCAGCCAGAATCTATCCTCTACAGTGAGGTTTCCCCATCAACTTTTCATCCTCCTTCACCTCCTCCCCTTAAAGTTTACTCTTGTCGTGCGCGCGCTGTGACTACGACACCTACTATGGCTATCAGTGTACCACCACCATCTTCTGCTTCGCCTCCAGATTTTACTTCCTCTGACCTTGATCTCTGAATCGCCCTCCGCAAAGGTACTCGTACTTGTACGTATCCTGTCTCTTCCTTTGTTACTTATAATGCATTGTCACCTTCTTCTAAGAGCTTTGTTGCTTGTTTAGATTCTATTGTTGTTCCTCCAACTGTTTCTGAGGATTTGGCTCATCCTTGTTGGCATGAGGCAATGCGAGAGGAGATGATGGCTCTCGATCAGAACCACACATGGGACCTTGTATATCTTCCACCCGACAAGAAAATTGTTGGGTGTAAATGGGTGTTCACTGTCAAAATGAATCCTGATATATGAATCCTGATGGTTCTGTTGCTCGTTTAAAGGCACAGTTAGTAGCTAAGGGTTATGCTCAGACATATGGTATAGATTACTTTGACACTTTCTCTCCTGTTGCCAAAGTTACATCCATTTGATTGTTTATCCCTTTGACTGCTACTTACGATTGGACACTTCATCAACTTGATATTAAAAATGCCTTTTTGAATGGTGACACCAGTGATGAGGTATATATGGAGCAACCACCAGGATTTCTTGCTCAGGGGGAGTCTGGAAGGTATGTAAATTAAGGAAATCGTTGTATGGTCTGAAACAATCCCCACGAGCTTGGTTCGGCCGTTTCAGTGCTGCAATATTTAAATTTGTCCTACGCAGGAGTGCTTATGATCACTCAATTTTTTTCTCTACCTCCAATTCTGGATGCATTCTATTAGTTGTGTATGTTGATGATATTGTGATCACTGGCAGTGATGCAAGTCGTATTATGAAATTGAAACCTGTCCTTGCTACTTGCTTTCAGACCAAAGATCTTGGACCCTTGACGTACTTCTTAGGGATAGAAGCCTCACGTAGTAACAAGGGAACTAACTTGTCTCAAAGAAAATATTGCCTAGATGTGCTAAAAGATGCAGGTTTGGTTGAGGCAAAACTATGTGATGCTCCGATGATCCCAAATGTAAAGTTAACAGCTGATGAAGGTGACTTGCTTGAAAATCCTGAGGTATATATTTGACTATCACCCGACCTGATATTGCTTTCCCGGTTAGTGTGGTCAGTCAGTTTCTGTCCACTCCACGAACATCACATTGGAATGCAGTTACTCATATCCTAAGATACTTGAAGGGGGCTCCAGGGCGTGGGATACTCTATCAAAACCATGGACATCATGTTATTGAAGGGTTCACTGATGCGGACTATGCTGGAAACCCTAATGACCGACATTCCACCACTGGTTACTGTGTGTTTGTTGGAGGAAATCTTGTATCCTGGAAGAGTAAGAAGCAAAATGTTGTCTCTAGATCAAGTGCATAATCTCAATACCGAGCTATGGCACAGACTACATGTGAGCTGGTTTGGCTTCGGCAGTTGCTTGGTGAACTTGGATTTGCTCAAACAGAATCAATGAGATTATGGTGTGATAATCAAGCAGCTATCCATATTGAAATAATCCTGTTTTTCATGAAAGAACAAAGCATATAGAAGTTGATTGTCACTTTACTAGAGAAAAGGTAGAAGATGGTACAATTTGCACTCCACACATCAAAACAGAAAATCAACTGGCAGATGTGTTCACCAAGGCTCTACCGGGGACACGTATCAATTCCATCTGTAACAAACTGGGCATGATTAATATCTATGCTCCAGCTTGAGAGGGAGTGTTAGAATATACATATTTAATAGTCAATATATTCTATGTGTGTAATGTGTATATATGGTAGCTAATATATTTTCTGCGATAGAGTAAATATTCTCTGTAAATCTGGCAGATTTAGTTTCCTTTTGTATTCTCTAGCTTGTATGTATTTATTCTGGCTATACCCAATGAACAACTGACAGTGATTGCATTGCATCTTTAATCAATAACTAAAAGGTGGTACTATCTTTCTAGTGCACTTGTTTTTTCTTTTTCTTTTATATAGGACACTTTCTTTTAACATTTTTGCTGTATAGGGAACAATACCACCTCAAGGCTGAAGCAGTTGGGTATGGAGTTTACTGTATGGGTCTTCAAGCATGTAAGTATTGAGGCACCTAACTTGTTTTCACACCCAGTCATCTCACATGCATAGTCTAAAATTGCTGTGGTCAACTTAAACTTATCTTTTCCATCTGTCAATATACTGTTAAGTGTTAACAGTAGTCACTAGAACTTTTAAGGCTTGTAAGAAATGTTTTTTATTAAGTTAAAGTATAATATATTTGTAGCATAACAATGACTATTCTGTATATACTAAAATTTGGGTATTTGGCAGTATTAAATGTTCTAATGAATGTTCTAGTAGGAGCATTGTATTTCTTTCTAGTAGAACATTAATTGACAGCTGATAACAAATTTTCCTTGCATGATACTTGATGTACAGTTGTACACATTTGAATGATCAATCCTTATATTATAATCTTCATAGGACTTATATACGTTGCTGAAGATACTCAAGATAGTAATAGTGGAACTATTAAAAATTTCTTATCATAAAGATAAAGTAACAGCAGCTAGCATTACTTTATCCTTCAGAATATTTTTCAGCAATGTCTTCCTGTTACTAGAAATTGGTGTAGGCGTCTAGCTCCGTTCTCCCATTTTGCTGGAGAATAAACCCCTTAAATTTTACTCTGCACTGTAAAACCTGAAATGTTCAACTCATATATCATATAATGAAATAAATGAAAAAGTGAAGCACAATCATTTTTCAAATAAAAAGATTCTCTGCTTCATTGTTGATATTAATAACATATACGGAGTATATAATGACCATCTGGTATAATTGTTTGATGTCAATAATGAAAGAAAATAACTACGAGTACATTTTAATAGCTTTTTTTAACCTGCATTCGGAATAATGTCATTTTTAATGACTTTGAAGAGAGCAAAGTGGGGGAAGAGTATATGTGTGGAGGATTGATCTCTTTTTCAAATTATATCTTTCCTATCTTCTCTATCTCCTTATCTTTTTATCTTGTTTTATATGCTTTTTTATCTTTGTATTTATCTTACCTTTTCCATCTTTTTTTATTTATTTTTAATCTTGTCTTATCTTTTAATCTTTTTTATCTTTTTCAGATATGATTTCATATTTCGATTCATGTTAGCTACTTAGCTGACCTCAAAACACTTTTGGGACTAAGGCTTGGATGTTGGTTTATTCGAAAAAATGTACTAATGTGGATCATTAAACGAGTGCTACTATACTAGTACTTTGAGGATATGTTGGCTATGGAAGTTTTTATTAGTTTTGTTACAGCCAAATGAACCAAATACTAGCTTTGTTACTCAGGGTAGGGAAGGTCGAAGTACGTGTATACTTTTGTTAAATCTAGCTATTATTTTCAATCATGATCAATTTTGTTCCTGTACTTTGGGAGTTGATAAAAAACAGGACAAATACTAGCTTTGGTAGTCGTATCTGTTATTGATTCTGATGTCCACCGACAGATATCAATCTTTTAGATTTTATATCAACAATAACTTGAATAACTCTGAGAAGGTCCTTGTGATCATTGCTTTTTGAGTTGGTCTATGGCTAAGTTTTTTGGTGATGCTAAACAAGTTTTCCATGACCTTACACCTCAAAATGAAAGTAGTAGTTATTACTATTATATGGTCAACACAACTCAATTTTGATCTCTGATTATATGTAGCAATTTTTCCTATCCAAATTCAGGTTTTGTGGTTCAATAGAACTTTTTAATGTAGTTTTTAAATATGTAAATTTTAATTATTAATACAACAATAACATTAACCCAGTGCCGCAAAGGCTCCCACTTACGGTGGGGTAAGGGGGTCGGATGTACGAAGCCTTACCCCTGTACTAAAGCACATAGAGACTGTTTCTGGATGACCCATGATGACAATCGCTTCAAAAATTGCATTGATTGACTGTTGCTTCATAACAAAGAAGCGTAGACAATTTAATGGAGCTATTTTGCTTTATTCCATCATATTCGCAAGCCAAAAAATAGTGAGTCTTTGGCTCCATCGGAAATGATGGAAAGTAAATTTTAATTATTAGTACTGTTTTAAAATATTGCCGAGGAGGAATTATCTCTATCAACCGTAAAACATAATCATCCGCAATGGGACGTCCATTTTGTGATGAAAGGAATATAAAACAAATAATAGATTTATATTACAGAGATGTGACAGGGACTGTTAAGAGTCTAACCTCTTATGCTAGAAAAGCTCTTAATTTGCTATCAGTAGCCCTGGGGTAATGATGATCATGATGATCATGATCAGCCCTGGAATTAATTCAATAACTCAATAACTTTATCTTTTACTTGAAAGAATTCAAAATTTTTGGACTTGATGTAGATGAATGGAAGTTGTGTTAATGTGCACTGGCCTGTGCATTGTCATTTGTTTAATTCTTTTCAGTCCTTATGCTGCTTTCATTTTTTTTGCTTCTTTCCAATCCTTAGGTAACTTTCAAGATACACAATCCCCAAATGACTTAGTTCATTTATTATTTATTTTTCAAATACAACCTTACATGTTGATAGAACACTGGAGTTGATAACTCAAAACAATATAGAAATCAATAGGAAATGTAGAAGAACAGATCGAAAGACTTTATTATCAAGATTAACAGATCACAAAGGGATACAATGCTCAAGGGCCATTCGAGATGCCCAATCTCCAAGCCTAGTCTCAACCGAAACAACAGCCTGCCTTATTTAGCTATCCACCTTCTATTTATAGCTATCATCCACACAAGGATGTCAACAGTTAGCTAACTAATTTGTTAACTAACTAACTAACTAACTAACTAACTACCCTCTTATTCCTCCTTTGTTAGACTCTTTTAAAATATTCAGTAGGTTGATTGTTAGCTATATGCATTGTGTTAGACTAGAACCTTCTAATGTAATAAGTCTATAGTCTATAGCTTGTTAGTATCTCGGTTAGTTGTTAAAGTCTAACTGACTTAACAACCTCTATAAATACATTGTAACCCAACTCAGTTTCTTAATGAAATCTTTCTGTTAGCTCATCTTCTCTCTCTCTCTCTCTCGTTTATCTAATATGGTATCAGAGCTTTAGCTCGATCCATCAATGGCGACCGCAGACAGTACATCTCAGTCCTTTGCTACTACAAATCCTCCAAATTCCACCACTCTGGTGACCTTCGCTCATCCACTTCCAGTCAAACTTGACGCCAACAACTTCATATTCTGGAAACACCATGTCGAGTCTGTAGTTCGAGCGCACAAATTGCTTCGCTTTATCATCAAACCTGTTATTCCAAAACAATTCCTCACTGTTGAAGATGAAGCAGCAGATACTGTTAACGATGCGTGTATTGCTTGGGAACAACAAGACCAAATGCTGTTTTCATGGCTACTTGCGTCGCTCTCAGAAGCTTTACATGCTCGTGTTATTCATTGCAGACACTCCTATGAGCTTTGGAGTGAAATCAACAACTTCTTCCAATCCAGTATCATGGCAAAGGCCAGCCAACTCAACTCCGAGTTGTATAACACTGCGAAAGGTAATCGTTCTATCTCTGAGTACTTACTTCGCATCCAAACTATCGCCGACAACCTGCTTTCAATTGGAGAACCGATTTCATCTATGGATCACATTATGAATCTATCTCTGAGTACTTACTTCGCATCCAAACTATCGCCGACAACCTGCTTTCAATTGGAGAACCGATTTCATCAATATCCTCTCGCAGTATACTTGATCCACCTACTCTATCTGAAGTTGAATCTCTTCTATCTGCCAAGGAAACACGACTGCTAAAACTTCGCGAATCCTCTCAACAGAACTTGTTATCTGCAAATGTTGCTCGACTGGAAATCTCAACTCCAAATTCTCATCCTCCTACTGAAAACACCAACGACAATGCTTCTGCTCAAGTTGCTCAATTCAACAACACTGGCAATAACAATTCCTACAGAGGTAGAGGCCGTGGAGGCTTTTCTAGAGGGAGAGGGGGCAGATTTGGTGGACGTAACTCTATCACATGCCAAGTTTGTGGCAAAACTGGCCATCATGCACTCATTTGCTATCATAGATATAATCCTTCATATACTATCTCCAATCCTTCAGCCAATCCTCATTCCACAAATCCTTACTCCACCAATCCATATCCCCCAAGACCTGCTTCCAATTATCCCATTCATTCACCAAATCCTACTGCCACAAACAATTTAGTTCACTCTTTCAACTGGGAACAATCATCACATCAAAACCATCATCATTCACCAGGTGCTTCATATAATCCTACTGCTGCTTATGCTTATGCCAACACCTCTATTCTAGGACCTCCTGCACAGCCTCAAACTTGGTTCCCTGATTCTGGAGCTACTCACCATGTCACTGCAGATCCTTTAAACCTTCAGCACAGTGAGCCTGTTACAACTACTGATAAGCTTCTTATGGGAAATGGTCAAGGTTTGGACATCAAGTCTATTGGTTTTACTTCCTTTCCTTCTCCCTATCAGTCTTCTATTTCTCTTTCTCTCAACAATATTCTTCATGTTCCCTCAATAACTAAAAATCTAATCAGTGTCAGTCAGTTTGCTAAGGATAACAATGTATTTTTTGAGTTTTATCCTTATGATTGTTATGTGAAATCACAGGTTTCTAATCAAGTCTTGTTGCATGGTATACTGGGAGCAGATGGTCTGTACAGATTCCAATCCTTTCCAGCTCTCAGTCTCAACCAGTCTCCTACACCACTTCATCAATCTTCTGCTCATGTTTCATCCTCACAAAACAATAAGTCTAGTGTCTTGTTATCTACCTGTAATAATGCTAAGTCTAGTTGTTCTTCTCAATCATGTAATCTCTGGCATCTAAGGCTTGGCCATCCTCATACTGAGGCTCTCAAAATTGTACTCAAACAATGTAATGTTCCTTATATTAATAAAAGTGCAACTGACTTTTGTTCTGCTTGTTGTATTGGTAAAGCACATAGACTGCCTGCTTATCAATCTACAACTATTTACCACAAACCTTTTGAACTCATTTTTACAGATCTCTGGGAATCAACTCCCATTGTTTCCTTTGATGGATACTCATACTACATAGCCTTTATAGATGCTTGTACAAAATATACCTGGATTTATTTCCTCAAACAAAAATCTGATGCTCTTCAAGCCTTTATTAATTTCTTCCAATATGTTCTCACTCAATTTTCTGTATCCATCAAGTCTTTGCAGTCTTTTCTGCTCCTGTCCTGAAACACTTCCTGAGATAGTTGTGGTCCTACTCTTCTGATTTCAGAAGGATTTATTTCAGTCACCCTCTTTCCCATCTTCTCAAACCAAGAATTATTATTCTTAGTATCTGCTACATTATTCCCATTGTTGTTAGACCACGAGTTTCAAGGTTTAGCTTTGTATCCTTCTCCCCATGTTTGAGTTTTAGCAGGTATAAGTCCCCTTTCCTTCCCACCTGATCTGTCATCTTCCTTCCTTCTCAAATATATAGCTTCATTCCTTTGCTCAATCAATTTCAGATAATGATCTGGAATTATACAGTTTCAGTTCAGTTTTTATCTCTTCTTTAAGTCCTGTGATAAAGACTAAAATCTCTCTATCCACAGTCTTTTGAGGTGCTATTATCATCTCAAATTCATCTCTGTATTCTCTCACAGTCCTGTCTGTTTCAAACTCAACATAGGTCCATAGGGATTCTGCATTAAATCAGGCTGGAATCTGCGAATAACTGACTCCTTAAGAGTCTCCCAATTCTTCTCCTCCATTTGGGGTTCCCACCACTGAAACCAGTTGAGAGCTCTATCCTCCATAGCTACTACTGATACCTCAACCTTATCCTCTTCCGCAATTTGATTCAATCTAAAATACCTCTCCATCCTCACCAGCCAGTTATAAGTCCCATCCCCATTAAACAAAGGTAGATCAACCTTTCTACCCGTATAAATTGGAAATCTAATATACTCATCATGTCGTCTGTGATTAATAGGAATCGAGTGTTCGGAAATACCTCCTGAGGCTGTTGGACTGTTCGAAGGTCGTGTATGGTGACGATGATTAGATCGCGATCTTCCTCTTGCCTGAAACTCTTCGCTCATCGCATCCATCCTTCCAGCGATGTTTTCCAGCATCGTTTTCATCTCCATCATACTTTCTTCCATCGCGACCTTGCTACGTTCCATGGCTTCCATTCGATTCTCCATTTTGGCTCTTGTCCAGACAATTCACAACAGGAATGGAAAATTTCTTGTGCAGCGACAACAATTCCGGTCACCAGAAATGACTGCTCTGATACCAATGATAGAACACTGGAATTGATAACTCAAAACAATACAGAAATCAATAGGAAATGTAGAACAGATCGAAAGACTTTATTATCAAGATGAATAGATCACAAAGGGATACAATGCTCAAGGACCATTCGAGATGCCCAATCTCCAAGCCTAGTCTCAACCAAAATAACAGCCTGCTTTATTTAGCTTTCTACCTTCTATTCATAGCTATCATCCACGCAGGGATGTCAACAGTTAGCTAACTAATTTGTTAACTAACTAACTAACTACTCTCTTATTCCTCCTTTGATAGACTCTTTTAAAATATTCAGTAGGTTGATCATCCGCGTGTCTATCACATGTGGATGCTTTGCAGGTCAAGTACCCCCCTCCTCCCGGTTTACAATTCTGGTCATTTATCTCAAGTATAAGTTGGAATGAACTCTGAATTTATACGTTTCACATATTTTCTTAGGGTACTTTTCCAGCCATATTGTTCATATCCATTTTATCATCATAACATACCTTTAGCTTATGTATATTAGGAATATGAGCTTTGTTTTTTGAATAAATGTAGGCAGGGATGGACCAATTGAAGCTTATGGGCCCTGTTATCTTGACAGGGATTCTTAAATCTCTTGATGGCTACTCAACATCAGAATCAGGTTTCCTAATGGCAGATTTTTAGTATTTTACTGTTAGAACTTTAATATGAATTGATATAATTATTGGAATGAAATACTTTCGTGTTCACTATCTTCCAGATGCTGTTTCCAGGGACACGAAAGCTTTTGCTTTTCAAGCAGTTGGATTGATTGCACAAAGAATGCCTCAACTCTTTAGGTATTCTTCATTGTTATTTATGTATTCATTCATCTATTCCATCTTTGTCTTGCTAACACTTCATTAACTCCTATTATGCGTTTAGAGATAAAATTGATATTGCTGTCCGGCTTTTTGATGCGCTGCAATCTGAGGCTCAGTTTCTCCGTTTAACTATTCAAGAAGCAACCAATTCTCTTGCTGTTGCTTACAAGGTTTGATACGAACTATATATCTATTTCCAGTTCTCAATTTTGTTAAAAAATCCCTGATGGTTGCTATTTGGTGTTCAGGGTGCACAACCAGGTGTGTTAAGGACTTTGGAGTCACTCTTGTTGAAAAGTTCGAAAGTGGTATAACTACATTCTATATTGGAGTTGGGCTGTAATGTTTTGTATGAAGTCTTTCATCCATAATAATTCTGTGTTCTTTTCACATGCAAGGAACAAAGTGAAGTGCGTTTTTGTGCAATAAGATGGGCAACATTTTTGTTTGACATGCAACATTGTCCTAGCAGGTTTATTTGCATGCTTGGAGCGGCAGATCCAAAGTTGGATATAAGGTATGCTATTTTTTAAAATAACATATGCGTTGAGTCAAGCAACTCAGGCTTGGATGTTGTTGTTGCAAATTTTGAATTTAGGGATTTATTTTGCTAATTGATTATGTGTATTTTGTCAACACTCAACAATAGTTAACTTGTTATTATTCAGCCTTTGAAAATAGGAATTGGATCTTTTTGTACGGGAATTTGTACTCTTATCCTATTAAAGGAAATAAACTGTTTCTTATTAATTAATAAAAATAGCAGAAACTTTCTATCTCATCACTTTTCTATTATCACAGCCACTGGTTTTTTGGCCTCCGATTTTTCTTCTTCTTATCACCCAGAAACTTCTTTCATTTTCTTTTCTTTCATGGGTGACTTCAACTATAAACTTCCATGGTTGCTAATGCTATCACTAACTCAGCAGTTCAGGGACGCACCTCTGTCTCTCTCGTTCCCTTTTCCGGGTGCAATCTTTCATCTCTCCACATAACAGCCCACAAACTAGATGGGCAGAGCTAGCTACAATGGGTACAAGCTTGGTTATCTCACTGGTGATCTTGTTCCTCCACCTATCGGCTATCACTGATCTTGTTCTTCCACCTATCATTGATCCCTCTTACAATATATGTTGTACTCAAATAGGACCTACTACTTTTTAACTTCTAAATAGGAGTACATTTTTTCCGTGTTCCAAATTTACCCCTATTTCTTATCCGTGTTGCTCGTCTCTACGATTCCACAAGTCTCTCTCTTCGTATAGACAAATTCTACCGGGCCATCTACATTCACTTCCAAATTCCCATTGTAGCAGATGAGCAAGGCGGTGCGAACAGATGGGACGCAACCAACCAGCTCCACCGACATGGAGACGGCAGCGCGTCATAGCGATACAACGGCGATGACGGAAGGGCTTTATTTTACAGAAACTCTGCAGCGGCAATGGTGGATGGAGCCTGAGGCCCTTCTCTTCCTCGTTCTTCTCCTTTCCTCCTCCTCCTCCTCCCTTTTTCTTCGTTGTTGTTTCACGGTTGTACCGAGATCTGTAACATATTTTCCGCGGCCGTGCTGTTTTGGATCTTAAAACAGCACTTCGAAATTGCACTTTCCGTTTTCTGTTCTTTTGTGGCTTCTTTAATTTCTGTGGGGTGCTGCTTAATTTTATATTTCTTGTTTAATTTGATTTTGGTTTTTTATCTAATTCCTTATTCAAATTGTAACTTCATTAGTCCAGTACGGTTATTTGTTTCCTTCAAATTTTCAGTCATTAGTCATTAGTTCCTTCAAATGATTATTTCGTTAATTCATTTTAGTCATTAGTTCTTATAATTAACCTCATGTTGACAAGGTAATTGTTGGTTTATTCAAATGTCATTGTAATTGTCAAATCTTGCTATGCATTTGTAATATGTTTTCACAATGTCTATTCAAATGTCATTGTTATCCTGACAATGCCAATGCATAAAAATGTCACCAGGTAAAGAAAATGTCACAATGGCAATGTCATTGTCAATGCTATAAAATGACATTGTAATTATGACAATGTCAATAGCTATAATGACAATGTTAATTTTATAATAAAAAAAAGTCACATTGTCGTAAAAATGTATAATGTTAATTAATCATGATGACAATGTCAATGACATTGTCATAAGAATGTCAATGACAATTTCATAAGAATGTCAATGAAAATGTCATAAAAATGCCAATGACAATGTCATAAGAATGTCAACCATTATGAAAATGACATTGTCAACATACATCATTTGTAAATATTAACAAGAGAAATGGTGCTAAATAGGAGCTTAAGTTCTCTTATGTAAATATATAAGACCTTGACTTTTTTTACTCCTAAATAGGACCTAATTTTCCGTGTCTACCATATTTGGCTATTTGCCCTTAAGTCTTTATTTTTGCTTCTCACTGTGACCGTGTCAACAAATTCTCACGCAAGGCATCTCAATCTCTTCCAGGGCAGAGGAGCTTGGCCGGTGATGCAAGCACGACGGTACGGCGACGCGCCAGTGGCAGTGCGGCGGCTGGACGACACGACGACGTAGCGGCTGCGAGTCTGCGACGGAAGGCAGTGGCGGATCTGGCAGGGGGCCGGTGCCCCTGCTTCGGCCATCAAGCTAGGGTATAGGCTATGGTTGTGGATCCAGAGAAATGACGAAGTAACGGGAGTTCTTGGTCTGAAAATAGCGCGAGTCGGAACGATGGGTTCCGACTATGGAAAGATAATGCAAAATTGTGGTCGAAACCACGGATTCCGACTGAAGTAGTAAATTAATTGGAAGAGTAGCGACTAGCTACTACTACTATGCGGCTTCAAAAGTTGTAAAATAATTAGTGGGTGGAGATGAATAATTTCGAAACAATTGCTACACATTAATTTTAGTTGTAAAGTAGAACAACACATTTTAATAAAAATGACAATAATTTTGGCATTAGTTATAACAATGTCATTTTCATAATGATTGACATTCTTATGACATTGTTATTGACATTTTTATGACATTATCATTGACATTGTTATAACATTGTCATTGACATTCTTATGACATTGTCTTTGACATTCTTATGACATTGTCACTGACATTGTTTTCTATTGACATTTTTATGACTTTGTCATTGACATTCTTACGACATTATCATTGACATTGTTTTCTATAGACATTCTTATGACATTTTCTTAAAATGATGACATTTTTATATATTTTTATGACATTGTCATTGGGTACAAATGAAAACCAATTGCGGGAGTAGTGGAATACACAAAAAAGAAAAATTGAATCGTGAGAGGCAGTGGGGCCATCATTGTGAAGAAAAGGAGAATAGCTAAAGTAGAAATTGATTCCACAAAGAGCACTATGTCGCAGGAAACACCAGACTGAGGATCTCTGGAAATAAAGACATCATTATTAATATTGATATTAGTGACATTGTTTATCATATTATTATCAATGAAAAAAATTCAAAATGAATAATGATATAACCTCTGATCCAGAGAATTGAATTCATTAATTGAATTCATAAAATTGAAATAAGAAATTGTAAAAGCAAAATAATAGTACTGTATCTAGAAATCGAAAAGTAAAACAAACATAAAAAGCTACAGACGAAATGTTGTCTCATAGCAGGGAGGAAGAAGAACCCTAGGGAGGCGGGAGTGCTTAAGACTGGGAAAGAGAAGATGTGCAGTAAAAAGCGGCAACGCGATGCTGCGGAGGCGGCGCGAAGTGGCGTCGGCAACTTGGCGGTGAGGTGCTGCAACGGTGATGATATTCCGTTGCGGCGAAGTCAATCCAAGGAGGTCGATTAAAAGAAGCAGTGGCCACGAAATTGATGACGAATAAGGCGTGGGGTTATTTTTGTCCTTGCGCGTAGATAGTAGTCCTATGCACGGTTTAAAAAAGTTCGGCTCCTATTTAGAGTCCAGCACTCCAGCTCTACGTTTTACTCTTGTTTATGTCTTTATCCCTATAATATATGGCAAGCTGAGAATTCAATTGTTCATGCTTGGCTTAATGGTCACTAAAGATACTATGGTAGTAACTAAAGTATAAAACTCACTTTTTTGTCCACTACCTTCATTTCAGTCATATATTTGTCTTTATTTCAATGATTAAAAGGGAAAGAAGTTGTCTCATATTAATAATTACAGAACTCTAAGCTAGTATAGGTAAAACCGAAACTTTCTATCTCATCAGTTTTCTGTATCATTATAATTACAGAACTCTAAGCTAGTATAGGTAAGATATCTTGAAGATATAGATATACGGAGGAGTATATTTTAGCCGGACAATAAGATGTATGTAAAAAATTTAACTGATGGGGAAACCCTTATTTCCTCTCTTAATAAAGTATGTTTGAAGTAAGACCTATTAGATTTTAAGGTTGATTGTTTCCAGATGTGAGTTGATTTATGTGACTTGACATTGAGAAAGAAAAAGCATGTTACTGAGTCCCTGAAATGATAAGGGATGATAAATTTGAAGTCATGCGTGTTGAAAACCTCAACGCTTCAGCTGTTAATCTTGGAACAGAAAGTAATAAAATAAAACATTTTTTAGGATTACTGGGTCAAACTGCTGCATCTTCATAGTGTTTCTCTTGTAATTATTTCTTTAGTTGCTGGAGTTCAATTGGTATTAGATAGTTCTGCTTCCTTGACACAGTAAGTGTACATTTGTTATGAAAGGGAAATTGCTTTGGAAGGCTTATGTCTTAGCGAAAATCAAAGGAAAGCTGTTAGCCAGAATAGCAATTTGCTGTACCCCAAGCTTTCTGACATGCTAGGCTATATAATTGAACAGCACCCAGCAGTTCTGAGTTCCATCAGTGATGGGGGGGCGATGCTTATCTTTCCTTCTAAAACATACATTGCCATGATCAAGTTTTTGTTGAAGTGCTTTGAGGTGGATGCACAACCGAATGTTTTGCTAGAAGATTCTGAATTTCTTTCTTCTGTGGACAAATTTTGCCTGCTCCTAGAACATGCAATGGCATATGAAGGCTCTGTTCAGCTGCATGCTATTGCCTCCAATGCATTAATAACGATTGCATCACACATACCCCAAGTAGGTTAATGGAATCATATACCTTATTAATGAAAATGATTTCAAAAATTCTTATTTTGTTTCATTTTGAGATATCATTTCATGTTCACTTTTAAATGTGCTTCTAACAGTTGATAGCATCACGCTATGTCAATAAAGTGTCTTGGCTGAAGCAATATTTGGGTCATATTGACTATGGGACGCGTGAATCTATATCACGCTTACTTGGAATTGCTTCTTGTGAGCTTCCTATCGACACTTTATCTAGCCTTATTCAAGAACTGATCTCCTCTGTTAGTGCGGCACCTAAGAAAAGGTTTTAGCAAATGGACTTTTGAGTTTTGACACAAAAAAAATATATAATCGAGGCAGCCCTTTGAACTGAATACGAAGTTAAATTTAATTCCTTTATAGGTTTGAGGTGGAGCATGGACTTCTTTGTGCTCTAGGATATATAACTGCAAATTTCATGTCAAGAACAGCTTGTGTAAGTTCTGTAATCATTTTGTATGTAAGTTACTTTACCTAATCGGTATAAGTCCCTGCTACATTTAACCATCTATATGATATTCAAAAATGATAAAATTGTAATAGACAGCAATGCACGTTGATTTTCTTGTTGGAAGAAGGAAGAAAACTGCTTTGGTGCATGGTTTCTGGTACATAACATCATGGTTGTTTCTTCGATGCTTGACATAAAACCATCATAGATGAAGTCCGTAGAAATTTCAAATTCCTTTAGATCTTCAGAGATGCCATACATGTCGCATCCGTTCATTACAAAAGGCTCTTAGAGGATGATATGGAAGCTGATGATTTGATTGCTGATTTATATGTTATGGAGTATAGTTGTGTTCACTTTCTGGAATGGTTTTGGTAACGTTAAACAGCATGAGGTTATGCTTCAATTTTTTTGGATGAGGGCTTGGGAGAAGGGGGATATGCCTGCATGAAAGGGAAAATGGAAAACGAGTTACTAATGCATGCTACATTATAAGATAATGGAAACATAAAAGAGCAATCTAGTAGAAGATTGAGGAGTGATAGCTCTCTGGATTTGCTACCACTTTAGGCAATTTAATGGTAACTATTGGGATTGAAAAAATATTTTTCCTCGGTTATTCCAATATGAGAAGTTGAGAACTTAGTGTTTTTGGCTCAGAGTTATGTTTCTCTGCAAGTGATTTTTAGAGAAAGTCCCTATTTTTACCCTCGGCATCTTTTGCAAGGTTACAATAACCATCTGAAAAGCTATAATCACACAACCAATGAAGTTTCTGATATTTTTATATACTTTCTCTGTTTCCATATTTCTTCGTTGCAGATTCCACCATCATTGCTTGAAAGTGTGCTTAAATGTCTTACTGATGTTGTTAACTTGGAGACTCCTTCATTGGCTTCTGTTGCGATGGAAGCACTGGGTCATGTTGGACTTTCTGCTCCACTGCCTCCTTTGTTTCATGACTCCACTCCAGGTGTGCTGCTATGCATCCGGAGAATGCAAATGTGTAAAGATATTGGTTTGCTATTTTGTAAACTAGAGGTTATACTAAATCTAATGTTGTGAACTGCAGCTTCCTTACTGACCATTTTGAATGAAAAATTGACCAAACTTCTTACAAGTGATGATATAAAAGCTGTTCAAAGAATTGTCATATCATTGGGGCACTTGTCTTTTAAGGAGAGTTCATCGACACACTTAAATAATGCACTGGATCTGATTTTTAGCCTTTGCCACTCAAAGGTAGGTGAAATTCTACTTGTTCTCTACTGCTGTCAGTAACTAGTTCCTTTATTTTTGTTTTTAGCGTTTCCAGGGGGACCTCCTAGGCTCTTTTCCTTCATAGCTACTTCTTGTTTATTTACTTTTCTTTAAGTCTTCAACATCATTTAGATTATCTCCAGAAAACAACGGATTGGCAAAATTGTTCAACTGTCCGTGGATTATAGTCTAGTACTACAAGCATTCTTAAATCCCTCCTTTCCTCTCTCAAATTAGGGAGAACCTTGTTTTGTCTAGTATAAGTACGGTGTATAAGCATTGAGCAGTATGCTTCATGGAGACTGCTGCATAAAGTTGGCTGGTTTAGTATTATCTTACCTAATTTTGGAGTTGACCAGGTAGAAGATATCCTGTTTGCTGCTGGTGAGGCTCTTGCATTTCTATGGGGTGGTGTTCCTGTGACTGCTGATACTATTCTTAAAACAAACTATACCTCTCTTTCCATGAGCTCAAACTTTTTGATGGGAAATGTATCTCCCTCACTGCTGAGCTCTAGCAGTATGGACTTTGACAGAAGTGATGATGGCCGTGACATTACTAGAGATGCAATATCTAGAAAGCTTTTTGATGCTCTATTATACAGTAGCCGAAAGGATGAGCGTTGTGCTGGAACTGTATGGCTTCTGTCACTTACAATATATTGCGGTCACCATCCAACTATCCAGAAATTGCTTCCAGACATCCAGGTTTACTGTTCAACTAACTCAACATATGCAACCTTAACTTCAGAACTCTGCATTCTGAATTCCTGTGTTTTTAATATGCAGAAAACAATTTTCCTCTAATGTTGCAGTTTAAATAACACAATAAATTTTAATTCCTAATTTCCTATAGTATTGCACTTTTTAACTTCTGTGGGGTTCTTTCCAATTTTTTTGTGTGGAGTTTCTCTTATTCTTAAAGCTGGGAGTGCTTTTCATCAGATCCCCTGTGATGGTAAAATAAAACTCATGGATTTCATAAATCAATTAATACAGGCCTTAAAGTCATGATACACCATTTAATGTGTTGATTTAGGATTAGGGCTACCCGTAATTGCAATATCTGTAGTTTCTCAAACATGCATGGAAACATTGAATTCAGGAGGCATTTTCACACCTTCTAGCTGAGCAAAATGAGCTCACACAGGAGCTCGCATCTCAAGGTCTTAGTATTGTGTATGAAATTGGTGATGCTTCTATGAAGAAAAACTTAGTTGATGCTCTTGTTGGTACCCTAACTGGCTCCGGAAAGAGGAAAAGAGCAGTTAAGGTTGGTATCGTACTATCATGCTTTGCTCGCAATTTCCCTTTATTTTATAGTTTTTATATTCCAACTAAGAAAAATGTGCATTGAACTTGATACTTCTCATATATAGCCATATGAGTTCCTCGGTATATGCATGTTGTACATGAATCGCACAGAGCTTCTATCCTATTCATTTCTCTTATCGCATACCTATTTCTGACCACCTTCTCCTTTTCCGTTTTTAGCTCAGCGAAGATTCTGAAGTGTTTCAAGAGGGGTTGATTGGTGAAAGTCCTACTGGCGGGAAGCTGAGTACATATAAGGAACTCTGTAATTTGGCAAATGAGATGGGGAAGCCTGATTTGATCTATAAATTCATGGACTTAGCTAATTACCAATCTTCTTTGAATTCTAAAAGAGGTGCTGCTTTTGGGTTTTCAAAGATAGCTAAATATGCAGGGGATGCTTTACAACCGTACTTGCGCACATTGATTCCAAGACTTCTTCGTTACCAATATGATCCGGATAAAAATGTGCAGGTATATGGCTATAAGCTTTAATGGTTGCTCTCCTTCACTCTTGTCTGGCAAGTATATTAGTTGCTTAGACCTTGTATAAATTGGACTAAAATGTGCATTTCAGGTTCAAAAGGCTACAATTGTTGAATCCAATCAATTGCATGCTAACTGAAAAACTATAAACTTATTTAGCAACTACTTTTGCTTTTTCTTTTCCCAATTCGGGACTCATATTATTCTTACAAGTTACAAGGAAACTTGAGTTTTATTTGTATTTTTTATTTTTTATTTTATTTTACTTCGTTTCGTTTTTCATTTTTTCTTTTCTTTTGTTTTGTTTTTTTATTTTATTTTATTTTACTCCATTCCATTCCCCAGTCTCTCCCTCTAAGACCTTATATGCTATTTCTTATTTATCAATTTTTGCTCAGGGGAAGAGGTGTAGAAAATGGAAATCAGTTGATCTCAAAGCTTTCTTTTTATTTTACTTTAGGATGCAATGACACACATCTGGCGGTCACTGGTTGCAGATTCAAAGAGCACTATTGATGAATATCTTGACCTCATTATTGAAGATCTTTTGGTTCAAAGTGGATCTAGACTTTGGCGCTCACGAGAGGCTTCTTGTCTTGCACTCTCAGATATAATACAAGGGAGAAAATTTGATCAGGTTTTTATCAATTATCATGTATTATTATTTTTCAGGTCATTAAATGACAATTATCTGTAAGATTATCATATGCAGAAAGGATTATCAATTATCCTAGTGATCTGCTAATGCTCAAAGAATTGTAAAAGCTTCATATCAAACCAGACTAAGCCCTTACCCATTGAGCTGGGTAAAAAACCGCCCATAAAAAGCTGGTTGAGGCAGATATTGAAGGTACTTGATGAACATGCTTAATAAGTTGTGGTAGGAAACCTTAAAAACAGTTAGGGGGCAGGAGTTGAAGGTACTTGCAAACCATGCTTATTAAATTGTGTACAGAATAGTCATGGATGCCTTAACAGAGCTTAGTAATACCTTTGACACTTGTGAGTGTGTGTCCTCTGTTTACTTTTCCACTGGAAATCGCTTGTGTAATGCCTTAAATATCTCAATTCTTTGTTGTTATTGTGACATTACTCCTGCCCTGTTGTTTTACTTTGTCCCTGTCAGGCTTCGCTTTGCTTGTAGACAACTCTTAAGATTTCAAACCTAACTACATAGGCTTAATATGTTGGGTTGTACCTCCTCAACTCTTTGAATCATCAGTATATGATCTTACTACATGCTGTTCTTCAACTCATTGAATTTCTTCAGTGTTTGAGCTTACTGCATGTGATCGCTTTTTCCCTTCCAATCACTTCAATAGTTGACATCCATTAGCAACGGAATCTGGCTACTTTTAAATTCTTATGATGGGATGACATCAAAATGGTATGCATTGAAATACAATTGGTTAAGAAACTTCAACTCTCTGTGTAGGCCTGTAGGGTCCTGGAAAGAAATCCATGAGGTCATGAACTTCATTTGTTCACGCAATTGTATTTCTTTGGTTAAAATCTCAAGAGAAACAAAAATGGCTGTTTTGATGGGATAAGATTTGTGAAAAGTATTGTTATATTTCTTATACTTGATATTTAATGCTATACAAGTAGCTATATTTATAGCTAGATTTGGAGCATGAGGATTTCCTATATAAAATAGGCGAAGGCCAACACAATCAGGGTTTCCATACAACTATGATTTCCACACACACCCTCAAGCTGGAGCATATAAATCATATGCACCATGCTTGTTACAAATATATTCCACTCTAGGACCTCTAAGAGACTTAGAGAAGTTATCTTCGAGTTGATAACTTGACGATATGTCCATTTGTGATCTTCTCTCGGATGAAATGACAATCAGCCTCTATGTTTAGTCCTCTCATGATACACTAGATTTGATGTGATGTGCATTGCAGTTTGATTATCACACTCACACATGAGTTGAACCGGTTTTGTGCTTCCATATTGCAACTCTTGGAGGAGATGTTTCAAGTTTCAACCATAAGATTTCACATGTAGTAAGGGTCATTGAACAGTATCCTGCTTCAGCACTACGTTTGACATGCTGTTTCTTACTTTTCCACGAAGTTAAGTTTCCACTGATTAAGATGCAATATTCCAAAATTAAATGGATAGTTAGGCACAAACAGAGTCAAATTTAAAGACGGGGATGGACGGAGAAAGACGGGGTGCAACTTGGCCAATGCTAGTGGCTAGTGTCTTTGAACCATTAACAATGGTAATATATTGTGGTGTTTTAACGTTTTAGAGGAGACATTTTGGAGAGGTTTAGGATCACTGGTTAGGTGATCAGAAGCACCAAAATCAACACCCAAGATCAAGTGACAATGATTGGGATAGACAAGTCATGCACAAAACAGGTAGAGCCACAAATAAATTGAGCCATACGGCCAGAGGCCCAGAATATATATATATATATATATATATATATATATATATATATATATATATATATATATATATATACATACACACAGAGTACAACTAACAAGCTCCCTGTGCAGATCCTATAAAATAGGATCTATCTAACTTCAAACTTATCTACTAATTAATGTAGTCTAACAACTCTAAAATCTTATCTACACGGCTACACATGTACATAATCTAATAATTAAAAAATAAATGTAACATTTTCTACACTCCCCCTCAAGTTGGTGAGTATATATCACACCCCCAACTTGATTATAAGTATTTCAAACACTGGTTTGAACAATCCCTTTGTGAAGAGATCAGCTGTTTGTTCTTTGGTAGTTATGAATGGTGTACACACAATTCTAGCTTCAATCTTTTCTTTGATGAAGTGTCTGTAATATGTTTAGTACGATCATGTAGCACAGAATTATGAGCAATACTAATGGCTTCCTTATTATCACAATACAACTTCATAGGCAAATCCATCTTCATTTTTAGTTCTGAAATTACTCTCTTGATCCAAAGCCGTTCACAGATTCCATTAGCCATATACCTGAATTCAGATTCTGCACTACTTCTATCAACCACATTCTGCTTCTTACTTCTCCAAGTCACCGGATTTCCCCATACATAGGTGCAAGACCCAGAAGTAGATCTTCTATCAGTAATTGAGCCAGCATAGTCTGCATCTGTAAAGGCCTTAACAGTTCTACTGTTGCCCTTTCTAAAGAATAATCCTTTCCCTGGACAACTTTTCAAATACCTTAGAATTCTGTAAGTAGCATCAAGATGTTCCTGGACTGGATTATGCATAAACTGGCTGACCATACTAACTGCAAATGCAATATCTGGCCTTGTATGTGCCAAATAAATCAATCTTCCCACCAACCTTTGATATTGTTGAATATTGACTGGAACTCCCTCTTTGACATCTCCCAACTTTTGTTTAGGGTCAGTTGGGGTATCTGTTGGTCTATAGGCACTCATGCCTGTTTCTTGAAGAAGATCTGGAACATACTTCCTTTGTGATACAACAATTTCTTTCTTTGATCTAGCTATCTCCATGCCAAGAAAGTACTTCAATTCTCCCAGATCCTTGACCTCAAATTTATGAGCCAGCTTCTCCTTTAGACTTTCAGTTTCTTTGTAATAATCTCCTGTAAGAATAATATCATTTACATAAACAATTAATATTGCAAACTCCCCCTTACTTGAAAATTTCATAAAAAGTGTATGATCAGCTTGAGGTTGCTTGAATCCATGTCTCTTTATGAACTGAGTGAACCTGTCAAACCAGGCCCTTAGGGATTGTTTAAGTCCATACAAGGCTTTCTCCAATTTGCACACCTTTGAGCCAAGTTTACTCTCAAATCCAGGAGGAGGACTCATGTACATTTCCTCTTCAAGCTTCCCATTTAAGAAGGCATTCTTCACATTTAACCGTTGAAGTGGCCAATTTAGGTTAGCACCTAAAGATAAGAGAATTCTTATAGTATTTAACTTTGCAACTGGATCAAAGGTCTCAGTATACTCTATGCCATAGGTTTGTGTATATCACTTGGCAACCGATCTTGCCTTGTATCTTTCAAGGGTTCCATCTGCTTTGAACTTAGGAGTAAAAGCCCATCTACATCCCACAGTTGGTTTATTCTTGGGTAACTCTACAATCTGCGATATCTGATTCCTTTCAAGAGCATCCATCTCTTCCAAAACAACTTTCTTCCACTCAGGTTAAGATAGAGCTTCGTGCATGGTTTAGGGAATAACAATAGAGAAAAGACTAGAGGTAAAGGCTGCAAATGATAAGGACAACTTGGAATAAGACACATAGTTTGAAATAGGGTATCTAACACATGACCTTTTCTCTTTTCAAGAGCAATTGGTAAGTCAAGATCACTGTAATTATTACCTTTTTCATTTGATGTCATTGAGTCAGATTCATGAGCAGTTGCAGGATTAGAGATGTCCTCTATTCTTTGATTTGGAACTCTCCTATCATAAACTTTGCCAAAAAATATACTTGTCTGCTGCTCATCTTCTTTCCTTGTTTCAGTTATATTTATGTCATTTTCTTCTACTTCTTGACTATTTTTTGATGCATCTAAGTATCTAGTATGATGTGCATCTAGATTAATGTCAAGAAACTCAAGATTTTCATGGATATGTAGTGCACTGTTACCATCTTCACTTGAATTCTCCCTCTGAAGATGAATATTAAAAAAGGGTCGATTCTCAACAAAATTAGTGTTCATTGTTACAAACATCTTTTTTGTTGTAGGATCAAAACATTTATATCCTTTCTGTGTTGAAGACAGTCCTAAAAAACACATTTTGTACCTCTAGGGTCAAATTTGCTTGCTGTTTTGTCAGGATTGTTAATAAACACTGTGTAACCAAAATTTTTTATGGGAAGAGAGCTGATAAGTCTGGTTTTAGGAAAGCAGATTTGAAGATTATCAATAGGAGTTTTAAATCCTAGAGTTTTTGATGGCATCCTATTAATTAAATAGGTAGCATGTCAAACAGTATCTCCCCATAAATATTTTGGAACTCTGGTCGAAAACATGATTGCACGAGTGACTTCAAGTAAATGCCTATTTTTCCTCTCAGCTATTCCATTCTGACCAGGTGTATTTATGCAAGAACTTTGATGAACAATCCCCTTTTCAGCAAAAAAATTGTTTAAATTTTTAGAAAAATACTCATGGCCATTATCACTTCTTACCATTTTGATGTTGGTATTGAATTGAATTTGGACCATTGAGTAAAATTTTCTGAACACATCTTCAACTTCAGATTTCTCTTTAATAAAAAAACCCATGTTACTCGTGTATGATCATCTATAATAGTTACAAACCATCTCTTTCCTTTCAAGGTTGAAACTCTAGATGCACCCAAATATCACTATGCACAAGAGTAAAAGGACTAGTTGGTTTGTAACTATGAGGGATATAAGAATTATTATGATGTTTTGCAAGTGCACACATATCACAATGAAATGATGAAGGGTCTTTATTATGAAATAACTGAGGAAACAACTTTTTTAAATAATAAAAACTAGGATGACCTAATCTATAGTGCATTAAATACACTTCATTATTACAAGGAAAAGAAATAGTTTGCAGACAAGCTTTTCCTTGATCTTGTTTATTTAATCCAGTCCCTTCATTAAAGACATAGAGTCCATCTTCCTCTCTAGCACTG